ATCGACTTCTGTTCGTCCATGGAGCCCAAACAGATGCACACACTCCAGCAATGTTCCAGGTTTCTCCGCCTATTATTAAGACAAACTGTTTTTGAGGAGAATTCTAAGAAAGCCTGATGGCCGAGTGGTTAGATTCGTCGTCCACGAATCGCGGAGTCCGGGATCGAATCCCGTCGGTGTCTTTTTGCTTTTCAACGCACGCGTTCTATTCAGTCATTATAAGATGTTTAATTTCCCGTCGTAAAATACCAACTGTACCTTAGCTTAATCGGTAAGCACTGCGGCTGGTACTGTCCGTGAGTTCCAGGTTGGCGCCTTCGTACAGGTTCAGGGCATGTGGTCCACTCGGAGGATCAGGGCTTAGGGGCCGCTCTGTTCCTCCCTTAGCTCTTTGCTTTTACATGGTGCCTGGCCCTCCGGGTTATATGGATGGACAGGGAAGGAAGTGTGTATTGGTCGGGGACGCCGAGACCCCGGAAGAGAACTAAGGGATTGGCTGGGGCATTGTTATGGCTCAGACCGATCCCTGAAAGCTTGGCTAGCACATAACTTTTTGATTTTTTTGCATCCTCTATTTTCTTCAACTTTGGTTTAGTTTGATATTTACATCTGCTCGGCAGTGCTACGGTAGTATTAAAAACAAAACAAAGGTCTCTGTAATAAATCCATGAATTTTGAATAATTTAATATAATCAAAACGAAGTTTCTTTCGATCAATATGACTTTACCATTATTAACGGCGCAATTTCCAATTGACGTAAGAAACGCCGTATGCAGTATTACGTACCGGGCAAAATTTAAAATGTGCATTGTGATATGTATATTACATCTTTCAAATAATGTTTCTTTAACTGTGAACATTCCCAAAAAATATATTAATTCTCAAAATAGAAAAACGCAAGAAAACAAGGCCCCTCACCCTTAAAACTGGAAATTCAAAACTGAAAAAAAAACAAAGTCAAGTGGAACACCCGAATATACCTTAAGGATTGAATTTGAAAATTCCATCCATAACATGGGGCTTTTACTGACTTTTTACCTATCCTCAAAATAAAAATCTGAAATGTGGATAGGTTTTCTTTTCTCCGGACATTTTGGCCTCTGAAAATCAATGGAGTGTGTGTGTGTGTGGGGGGGGGGGGGGGGGGGGTGACCGGCTCGCACCATACTTTCAATTTGGGCGCCGTTCAAATAACCAGTGGCGAACCCAGGATTTGGTTAAGGGGCTCACAATGAAAAAAAAATGAAGTTAACATTTAAAAAAAAAAAAATTGCCCACAATAAATTTTGGCCGCAGAAAAATTGGGTGTTTTTTTTTTGGGGGGGGGGGGGGGGGAGGGCGACTATTTTTGTCGTTGGTGGCGCCACTTACACAAATACTCGAAAATAGACCACATACATATCAAATCATATACAAGGTCAAATCGTGGGATTAAAAAAAATACAAAAAAAAAATGACAACCTGGGGGAATTTCGGAACTGGAGCGCGTCATTTAAAACCAACTTTTAAAACTGTGTAAAACAGGCGCGGATCCAGGGGGTCAACCCCCCCCCCCCAGCTCTGTCCAAAAAAAAATTATCATACAAATTCCTAAAAATAAGTCGAACCCCCCCCCAAAAAAAAAAATATATAATATCCGCCTGTTCAAAATACGGTACACCATTCTGTAATCTAGTGTTCATAATCGTCGAATTTGAACAGCGCCCCCTATTGAAATATGGTACCAGCCCCCCCTCCCCCCCCCCCCCCAAGTTTTTTAATTTACGGAGGCCAAGTGCCCGGAGAAAAAAACCTGTGTACATTTTCAGATTTTTTGCTGATGAACCCCCCCCCCCCCGCGAAAATTCCTGTATCCGCCCCTGTAAAGGCTTGCAAAAACAAACAAGCAAATATATTTGTTACAGGTCATTTTAGTCCTTCAAATTTTGTTCAGAAAAAAAGGAAATTTTGACAAAGCACGTGGGCCCTATATACCAACTTTTATAAAAAATGTCATACTTTATGAAATTGTGCGCAACGATGCAGTATTTTAATGATCTCTAAAAAAAAAAATAGATGCTGCGTTGGTTGATATTTTTGTTCTTCCTTTTACCAATATTCTTAGCGCCGATTTTACCAACCTCAGGGCAGTGGCATACATGGCGGGGGGGGGGGTGCACAGTGGCAAAAAAGCCACTGTCGAAAAAAGCGTGTCGGTTCAGTCGGCATTGATGAAAAGCGTCACCTACTGTTCGAGAGTGTCAATATGTTTTAACAGAGTCCCTACGGTACAATAAACTGCCACAGACCCAAATGATAAATGCCCCCACTTCAGAAAGTCAGACTAAAAATACTCACACTTAACTCTCCATTAAGGTGTTCGAGACACACATCAGAATTAAAGATTATTTTACCATCTTTCTTTATCTTTTCAATTGTTGAGGTCAATCTGATGATTTTTGGGAGAAATTCCATCGCCATTTTGAAAAACGGTGCCAATTTGGAGAACGTAAATCACCGGCGCTATGCATGGCCGGTTCTACAACCCACAGATTAACTGTTGTGCAAAATATATGATGTAAAATTAGTGGCGAAAAGATGATTTCCAACATCCAATAGTACAGTCTTCAAACCGCCCCCAATCACACCCCTTTTACACCCATCTTCACAATCACACCCACTTCATGTTTGTCAGCAAATTTTGTGAAGTGCAAAATTAACGGAATGGAAAGTGCTCTAAACCGTTTTAGTTCAAAATATGATTTTCTTAATTGGGGGGAATCGGAAAGAAATCCATGGCAGGCAGATTTGCAACTCGATCGCAGAAAGGAACTTTTGCATCATAAAATGGCAACATGTCAGGCGCGGATCCAGAGGGGGTGGGCAGGGGGAGTTGGGATTTGGGGTCAAAACCCCTCCAGCTCTGTCAAAATTTTTCATTTTCCATAGAAACTCATGAACAAAATGCGACCCCCCCCCCCGTGCTCCGACACCCAAAATTTCTTTGCTAGTAATAATGTCCGCCTTGCACAAAATACGTAGCCTACAGAGCTAGCTTGGTTAGTATGTAAGTACATTATTCCGTGATATAGTCGGATTTGAACAGCGCCCCCATTCAAAGTATGGTACGAAAAATGCGACCTCCCCCTCGTCTCCGACACCCAAAATTGTTTTGCTAGTAACAATGTCCGCTTTGCACAAAATACGTACAGAGCCAGCTTGGTTAGGTGGTACATGTACATTGTACATTATTCTGTGATATAGTGTTAATAATCGTCGGATTTGAACAGCGCCCCCATTGAAAGTATGGTACGACCCCCCCCCCCCCCCCCCCCCCCCGCTTTTTGATTTTACGGAGGCCAAGTGTCCAGAGTAAAAAACGTGTCTACATTTCAGATTTTGCTTGGCCAATGAACCCCCCCCCCGCGAAAATTCCTGGATCCGCCCCTGCATATACACTAGCCCCATACTACATTTAGGCCCCTCTTCGGCAGTTTACCAGGGGCCCTTTTTGAGGGGTCTGCGAGTGGCCGGGGAAGTAGCAGGGTTGGCTGGTTTAATTCACAAACTCAAATCACGATTAAAATCATGATATTTTTTCTAAATCATTATTTAAATCCCTTTGGGTTTTTTATAAAAAAAAAACCCTTTTTCAAAATAAATGGATTGAGGTTCATTTTTAAAAATCATTTGAATCAACTGATTCCGCTTTGTTAACACATATTCAAACACCCATACTTCATCAACATCTCCTCAACTTACATGTATAGATTTTGCACAATTATCCGAAATCATTTATTAAAGTCAAAATCTGCATGTTTTTCTTCGAAGTTTGAATTTTAACTTCTGAGTTAATCAGCACACTCCTTATACACCGTGAGCTATTAAACACAGCATACAGCACAATAGAATCACATTTGCTGTTGTGGCCTTAATAGCGCTTATCTAATCCATCTAAAGGTGTGTTAAAATCCCAATTGATGGTCTCATTCTTATCTTTTCTCCATAAAAATTTAGATTTACATTATGTAAAGAAAGGTGCATCATCATATAATGTTCTCCATGTCCACCTTGTATGAAGGACCAAAGTTTCACAAGGATCGGTGCTGTCGTTTTGAAATTAGAATTTTTAATGAAATACATGCCTAGCGCGAACTATACTCGTAGTTTTTGGTATAAAATGTGGCATCACCGCGAACACGTTTTTCATTCATCACACAACGTATGGTTATATCTCTACCGTGTCAATAAAGCCACACACCTTTATTATTTTAAAGTGTCTTCAGCATAATATACTACCCTTTTATCAATGTGGTTGACTACTGTAAACGAAATCAAGGAATTTTTGTTTACGTCACTGATACAATGCAATATTTTCAAAGGCATTTTTATCAATGTTTATTGAGGGGAAGTTCTGGAAATGTTCGCATACTGAATTGAGTCTTGTATGGGTATGATCATTGTACTTAACTTGTAAGGGTGTGTGTGTAGATTTAGACAAATTGGAGACGAATAAAAGTTAAAAACATAAAAATATTCAGATATAAGGCCTATGTTTATTTATATATATCCAATGAAATCATCACGTATCACAATCCACGGTGCTCAATACATCTCTGCAGAGCTATAATTATGCAATAAATTCAGGATGTGAGTTAATCAAAATTATTTTTAACATATGTATCTAATTTTAAAAAAAAAAAAAAAATCGCCAACCCTGTATGAGGGTTGGACGGGGAAGGGGGGGGGGAAGGTATAATTTCTGGTACATAGTTGGCATCCTTTCGCATGCGCATGTCGCGCCAACCACCGGATGAAATGTACCGCGCACGTGACCAGAATGATTGACATGGATGGGCACGCTGCTTTTGTTGCATCACCTCCACCACATGACGTCAGCAATAATCAGACAATGTAAAATCACGTGAACTATTGACCCAGTGACAGCCGTAGTCGGGTGCCCAAATGTAAACCTTGTGCTAACATACGAATCAGGCTCTGGGAACAACTCAGGAGGACGCAAACGGAATCGGTCACGAGACTTTCTGTCAACACTGAGATCAAGTTTGGGTTGCATAAAACCCGCCTGCGTGCTTTGTTGCTGACACAATCAAGACAATTTTTGGTAACCGACGCAAGTACTAAGTTCCAGAAACAAGGTGTTTTATTCTTCAGATAGATTTCCACAGTTTGAAACGGTGAGTTTTCGTTAGGCGGGCGAAAGTCAGGATTTCCGGAAAGAATCCAGACGCCATTTCTGAGGTTGTGTACAAAGTCTATGGAGAGTCGAGTGCATTTTCAAAATCAAACTCAAACTTTCAAAATATTTTACATCAAAATTGGAAATGTTTCTCGGTCCCAGATTCATGTTTTTTCAACATTTTTGCAATAAGTTACCGTCATTCAGAGGTAAAACATGATAAAAGGGGGTGTCATTGTCCGGATGCAACATTCTTTTCGTTGAAAAAACATGAATCTGGAACTGAGAAATTTTGTTAAATGCACTCAACTATCCATAGACTTTGTACACAACCAAAAATGTGCATCGGGATCTTTCCATTCAGTTATATTAATAATATGTTGGGAAGAAATGAATTGAATTGTTAATGTTTGAAATTAAATATTTAGCATGGTTTTTATTTCCCCATTGTGGTTTTAGTGCCTATACTCAGCATTTATTTCCAGCAAACAAGAACTCATTTTTTGAAGCACTGATGAATCCAGTTGTTGAAAGAGAATTTGTCACGAGAGTTTAGGGATTTGACTCATTTTTTTTTCCCCTCATGAATTGCTCTTCATAGAGTGACCTCAAGATGATGAGAGTGGCAGTGTTTTGCGCCCTGATGGTGGTAGCCCTAGGCATGCCCTTCAACTTCAACACAGACTTGGATGGAGAATGGGAGCTCTTCAAAAAGGTGAGAGGGGCCAGAATAACGTGCAGCACTAGCTATATGATAGAGGTTACTAATCCTCCCTGTACATTGTAATTGATGGCTTTAGTATGTTAGGCCTGTGTCAAAACTGTTGTTCTGATCTGGATTGTGTAAAGTGATTTTTTTTTCAAGTATCAAAGAAAAAACGCTCAAGAGATCAAGTACGTGTACATTGTACATGTCTAGTTTCTCTGTTTAACTGTGGGCAAACCCGTCTGAATAACTTGCAGACTTTTTTCAGGTTCCTCAGCCCAAGACAGTGTGTTCTCAACTATTCTAAGTTGCATCATCTACAGTTCTTGATGGCATCAATTTTTTTGTTGGTGGGCATATCAAAACTGGTGTTTTCATTCTTGATCTGGACCAATTTTAGGTAGTATAGTGCAGCAGATTGTTGATAAGATAAAGCAGGCATTCGACTTTTCCTCTGATCGGCTGATTTCCTCGTTTTTCACTTCTCACGAATACCATTACAAATTCAAAATACTTTACAAAGTCTTGTGTGGTTTGGAGTTTCCTTCTTTTTTGGGTCTAAATTCCCAGTTGCATGCCTGATTAAATGCATGAAATTTAGCGCACACAGTCAGATTATGTCATGGGAAAGATATTTGGCTATAGGGCCATTGCAGATTTGTCCTTTGAAAAAAAATATCGTAGGATAACCAAAAAAATTCAAAATGGCGGCCATTGCATGTTATATTTTTTTTTCCAAAGGACAAATCTGCGATGGCCCTATAGCCAAATATCTTTTCCATGACATACTCTGACTGTGTGCCAAATTTCATGCTTTTATCATCAAATGAACAATTTCATCATATTGTGCATCAATCTGCCTGACTATTAGGGAGAAATGCTTTGAGATCAAATACAAGTTAACTTTGTGTTTGTTACTGGGTAAAATCCTATGATTAAACTTGCAGACTTTTTATTAACCCTTGCTCCCTAGCATGATTTACTAGGAACCATACCCATCCTGGCAACTTCCAACACCATATGGGAAACTGCACACACGTATTTCTGACTTTGATTCTGGAGATGTGCCAACCCAATGTAAAACACTGTCATTTTACGGGGAATGTACCCATCCTGATAGATTTGACAAAACATGCCGTTGGGGTTAGATGGGTTGAGTTCTGTTCGGGTTAAAAGGTTACATGAACCTTGGCCCGACTCCATTCGGTGTGTAAATACTGTACATTTTTTTCCCCCCAGGTTCATAACAAGAGGTACTCCGGATTCGGGGAGGAGGCAAACCGACGAAGCATATTTGAGTCCAACGTGAAGCTGATCACAATGCACAATCTGGAGTATGACCTGGGAAACCACACCTACAGGCTAGGCATGAACTTCTATGGAGATATGGTACGTGCTGCCAAACTGGTTTAAATCGTTCACTTCCCCTTTCTTTGCATTCTCATTAATAAAAATTGAAACAATTTTTGTTTTCCAAAACAAATCTTGATGACATGCTGAGCAGGGCAAGTGTAGTTAACCTATTACATGGCATGCCAGTTGTTTGGAGAAGTGGAATACGATATCAATGGCAGAAATTTGAGAAGTTATAAATGCACCAAGGGCATTTTGTGGCTGTTGTTCCTCATTTTTGTTTTTGTTTTTGTTTTATTTCTATTAAATGAAACTTGTGTCAGCAAGCACGTGAAATTGTTTCATTAAAATTAATTGGCGTTGTCTAAAAAAAAACAAAGTCAGTAGCAGTTGAAAGTAATTAACCCTCTTTGCGGTGTGTGAAAAAAAATAATAAGAATATTAAAATTGGGAGATTCACAACTTCTAAGGTTAATGGATGCATTGCAAAATGAATTCTAAAAATAGTTGCCATGTCCGCATGTGACTCTGTCATTAGTAAGAACTTTCAGTTCGGTGTTTTATCCAGGAACTGTATACACAGTAAAGTATCACTGATTACAGATGAATCAGGAAAAGGACTTTGTCCAAGGATTGGAGTCTTGTGACGAGGAAGTGATGGTCAATTTTTTGGGGTTTTTTTTTCATCACGTGCACCTAATGGAAGGACAGGGCACAAAGGGTTAAACAGGATGTCCTTTGACAGGATACAGCGTGTGGGTTTTCAGCACCATTGTGTTTATCGCTATTGTGTCCGTGGTTTTGTCATGTGCCTTTCGTTTTCAAGGCTTATGCATCATTTCATCGGAGAACTTGTGAAATGATATTGTCAATTCATTGGTTGAGCCAAAACCTTACATCATGTGATGTAGATGACCTGTGACTGTCACGGGTTTAGCAAGATCAAAAATGGCTTTATACTATGCTAATGCTATGTACTTCAGGAAATTAAAAACAAATCTCATGGACCACATTTAAAATAACTTTTTTTTTTTAAACCTAAGGGAGCCTTTTTTTTAAAAAACTTGTTGTGTAATGGGAGGTTATTTTGTAATGAAAGCACCTGGTTTGTTTTGGTATGAGCAGTTTGTGTAATGATTACCATCTATGGTAGGGTACCCTTGTTCGAAATTTGGCTTTTTTTTGCGGTAGCGCCTGTGCACACATATTCTTGTTCCAGTTGAAATGGTTTGGAGAAAAATCACTGAGTCGCTGTCAAATGATGTTACGAATTTTGGCCTTTGTAGTTTGCACAAACAACCCTTTTCAACACCATGGCACTTGGTATTATGCCAAGCAAAACCAGATTTGATCGTGCTGTGTGCTCAGTCAGGTATTCATTGTCCCACGCAGTGCCTGGTACATGTTTGCATGCATTGGTTCACCTCTGTATGTATGAACTAGTCACAGGTCACTTTTTCCCCCAATACTTCCCTTCAAACATAAAATATAGAAGAGTTGCTTTAATTGTTTATTTATCCATCGGTGATAATGGAATAGGCCCCTCCCAGTAAAGTACCCATTGTTGATAATGGAATAGCCTCCCAGTTTAGGTCAGCTATCTCTTTGTACACACACAGGCCAAATCTTTTATGAGACAAAATGGGGCCAGCTACAAGTTTCTTTTGTTAACTAAACTTTACGCACCTAGCGTTAATTGTGACATCACACAACTCAGTGGCTCCATAGGCATGTGTACACACGCCAAATCTTTCATGAGACAAAATTGGGCCAATTTGCAGCTTTTTTCAGCTTTTTCAAGAACCGGTCATCCAAAAAACTTCAAACTTGATTGACACTGCACATTCTGGTGTCCTGATGAGCAATACACCCGCTGATTTTCATCTTCATACAGTGCCCGGTTCTGGAGATAATAAAATACAGACAGACAGACACAGACACACAGAGATTCCCAGAATTATAGTATAGACAGCCAGAGAAGGCATTCAAAAAGTCATGAATATGTATGAGGGAGACTACCAACTCTGCTCTATGCATAGTCCTGCAAATACCGTTGAAGATTCAGTAGGCCCTATACATGTACAAGCACACTGCTCTATTCATACACATAGGGTAAAATTAGACACAAAATTAGACACATTCATGCAAAAGTGAAATAGTACAATACATTTTGAACTTTCAAATGTAAGCTTTCAGTATGACTGGTTCCTTTTTTTCCCTAACAAATATAGTAACCATAAAATATGCCAGTTAGTGTACGATTGTAAATTGACCCTCTGTATACATGCATACGTATAAAGCATGCTGTCTGAGTTGTTACATAACTGTCTGCTGGAAATGTACATGTTAATGTCAATCATGTTGTGAAAACATAATAGGCAAAATCTACAGTACTTAACGCTTCTGCATTCACTTCTAACTTCTAGCGAACCTACATACCCTGAGATGTTTGTGACACTCTTCAACTTCAGTTTGAAATGTTTGTGCCATGTTGTATCCAGCTCAGTGCAGTAGAGACACAACAGCTGCAACATTATCTGTTAGACCCTGAACAATTGCACCTTGACATTTGCCCTCAGTTTTAGTTGAAAAGTTTTTGTATTATCATCAACAAATAGGTGGCTTTCAAAGTTTAGATTTTTAACCCTAACCTAGTAGTTCCTCAGGACTACTCTGCTAAATCCAACAGAGTCCAACCGGACTTTCCTGTTCTATCCACTGTGCCTTATTTTCAGTTGTCTGCTGAATCCAACGGAGTCCAACTTGGCATTATAATGCGGTTCAGTTGCCTGCTGAATCCAACATTTTGCATCAGGAATGTACCCAAGGGGTTTACTGCTCAATCCAACAGGCTCCATTGGGTATATGATGTACATGTAATTGGATCCTGTTGGATTCAGCAGGGTTAGGGTTAATGCAATTTTGTTGACTTTCTTGTGAAACACTCCCAACCGTTGGATTTGTATTGATGTGTGTGGTTACTTTTCTCCCTTAAAATGTACAGACAGGCAAGGAGTTCACACAAGTGATGAACGGTTACAAGACCAGAGCCAATCCTCCCAAAGCGACCATGACCTTCCGAGAGCCACAGAATGTCCAGTATCCTACCACGGTGGACTGGCGAACTAAGGGCTACGTCACCCCCGTCAAGAACCAGGTGGGTGATAGGGCTGTTCATTTTCAAATTATTTCAACGTGGACTTGATCGAATATTCAAATATTTGATTTTGAAATGCGCTAAACTGGCCACCGATCAGGAGTTGTGTTTGCCTGCAATTGTTGAAAATTGACAGAGAGCATATTAAAGTAATAATAATTTTAAAAACCAGGTAGCAGAATGGCTGATATTGAACAAATTTTAAAATTGAGCTTACATTCACCATGTATGCTCTAAAATCATTTGCGAAAGTGGCTTGCAGCAAAGGTACCGTAGGGCATTTGACACACAACAATACCACGTGACTTATACATCTCCTTGAGTTTGCTCATTTGTTTGGAATATTTCAGTTAAAAAGAATGCCATGTAGTTGATGATTAAATATACAAATATTCGGCTTAGGCCTTATGGGTGAGTTTGTAACTAAACTCCAGCAACCAACCTCCCCACTTCCCTTTCCGCTGACAAAACACAGTGGGTGCTCTTTTGAGATGTTAAAATTTGCCTGTACGCCTTTGCATGGCCCTTACAGAGATGTTGGCCATACCATGATGCTTACATCCTGAGATCCTCACATTTTGCTTCTCAACAATCAGGATTATTGAACAATGGTGGTCACCATTATTGTTAGCTAAAATATGAATGTAGGAAGTATCAGGAGTGACGATTTTGGTCTCTGAAAGGTAAACTTTATTTTCGACCAACTAGCCTCCTCAGTCATTCTGAGTGAATGCAACAACTGGTTTTTCAGAGATGTAGGCCAGTCTATCACAAGTCCACCACGAGTCCAGTCACAAGTAACAGTGGATGAACAATGACAAAAAAACGTCTTATTGTCGAAGCTCATTTGAATAGCTCGTGAGTTGATTTGGGACTGGAGGACTTGTGATGGACTTGCTAGGCATTTCGATGGACTCGACTACATCCCTGTGGTATTTCAACATTGTAGTCAATTCAAATACACACTATAATTTGGTTGTTTAAATGCCAGTCTGATAGGGCTTGAAACATGTTTAGCAGAGTTGCGTTAAAGCTATAGTCCATCATTTGCAGCCATCCGAAAAGTAACTGGCATAATTATTGTTGAAAAACATACTTGGTTGAAAGATAGTAAGTGGACTAAACTCCCTGTGAAAGTATTCTTTCTGGCAAGCTGTCATTTTGAAGTAATCAACGAAAGAAGGCCTTTCCAACGGTGCATCTCAAGACGCACCGTAGGAAAATTTAAATTAGTAGTTCGTTTTGTTATTCAGCGAAGTGCGCGCAAGCATTGGCACGACGCACACGCGCGTGCGGTTGCTATAATTCGTATATAATAGCTGCAATCGGCTCAGTGAGAACGTGTCTCGGACGCTGAATTCAGGCCAATTCAAAACATGATTCAGCAACTTTTGATTTGAAATTGAGATCTTAGAATGCTGTTTTTCTCGGAATATACAGCTGAAGCTGAACTGAAACTTCATCAGGTTAGTTGTTCAGTATCCTTCATTAGATTTTGAACACTTTTGTTGCTTCAAACGAACAAAATGCACAAATTACAAATGATGGACTATATCTTTAAGTTTGAGCAGGGCAGCGCGCCCTTCTAAAATCCTGTCTGGAGAACACACAAAACAATTTCACGCACAAATTACTCAACATGAACTTTTCCAACGAATAGATTTCTCTTTCGCTTCACCCCTTAGGAACAATGTGGTTCCTGTTGGGCCTTCAGCGCTACTGGCTCTCTTGAAGGGCAGAACTTTGCGAAGACCAAAGTGCTGCCAGACCTGAGCGAGCAGAACCTGGTGGACTGCTCCTACGTGGAAGGGGACGACGGATGCAACGGTGGACTCATGGACGACGCCTTCAAATATGTCATATCAAACAAAGGAATTGACAAGGAGTCTTGCTATGTATACAAAGCTAAGGTGCGTTTGATACTTTCGTAGTAAAGGCAGAGTGGATCACTTGCATTTACCCCCAAAAGTAACCCACCAAAATGTTATCAAAAAGCTTTAAGACTTGATACTAAACACCTTCGTGAAATTGTTCCGTCAGGCGTGTTGTCCTCTTGAAGAAATCAAGAAATGTCGGTAATTTCTGAAGATAGTAAATTCAATGATTTTGTAGATGTAAAGAGTGCTATAGACAAAATTGTGCTTCGTCATGAAAAGGTTGTGAATGATTTTTCACTGTTTTCTCAGGGAAATTAAATGTCCGCCGAAATGAAATTGTAACAGGTTAAATTTTGAACATCCTTCTTTGGATTTTAAGTGGTGTCATTATTGGACATGAACAAGACGCATGTACAGCAATTGATTCTATATGCCATTAAATTATTTTTGTGTTTCACAATAAACACCTGTTATTTCTAACATCTACTGGAGGTTATAATAACAGTGGCTTGCACAAGATTCAAAATATGCAATGCAATTTTACAGACATGGAAAAGGTACACGTAATATTCTACCGCACTGTCATTAACTCTAACGTACCTGAATCCATCAAAATCCACACCCCTGTTTCGAGGGATTTTGGCGTATTCAGGATACCTCCATATTGAAAACGGAGGATTTTGATGCATTCAAGACTGAAGCCTAGCTGTACCGCAGGATTTTGACGGATTCAGGATACCTCCATATTGAGCAGTTGGGGGACTTTGATGGGTTCAGGATCTCAACAGATTTACTCCCTAGCTAACTGGTAGATTCTGATGGACTCACTGGCCACCAAAATTGTTTTGCATGGCAAAAATTGATGGATTTTGGCAGATTCATGATACTTTTCAGTAAATATACCCGAGGGGTTAGGGTTCAAGCAAGATTCACATTCTCAACTTTCACTAATAAAAAATGAAGGCAAAGCACAAGTAAAAAAAAAAAAAGAACATAATGATTAATAGAATGTATTTTTCTGTCTTCAGGATGAGAACAAGTGTCATTACAACGCGTCGGAAGAATGTATTACAGGTCATTGCACTGGTTTTGTGGATGTGCCGACCGGCAACGAGACAGCACTGATGGCAGCTGCTGCCACCATTGGACCCATCTCAGTCGCCATTGATGCCAGCCACAACTCATTCCAGCTCTACTCAGAGGGTGAGCACCAGAGACAAATGTCTAATTATCACGAAGCTAGGTCCCAACAAAAAATACCTTTGGTTAGGACCACATGGTTAGGAAAAAAAATGATTAATACGTGACGAAGGACCCAAGTTTTCTTTCGGATAATATTAATACGTGAATGTTTTCTTGCGGATAATACTATAACGAAAAAAATCACTTGCTGATAAATGCCTGTAAAAATGTTCTGGCGGCCGGCGATTTTGACCAATTTTGATCGGAAGTCAGTATTTTTTTATTCCTCCCAAATAACCAATACAATTGTGTGGGGTTGCATTTTATCGCTTCCAAAAATAGGGTCAGTCGGGTGACCCAAACCAAAGGTATTTTTTTTTTTGGCCTAATGTCCCCCCCCCCCCCCAATTTCAGGTAACCAACAATTTTGAACTGTTTTAAAACAAAAACACTTTTGTATTTCATAATTGATATTTTTGTGAGTGTATATTTCTGTGTGTAAATTGTATTCACCGAGTTGATCTCATGTGATGGTCTTTTGACTACTAACAGGTGTGTACAACGAGCCAGAATGCAGCCCCACAGAGCTGGACCACGGCGTGTTGGTAGTTGGATACGGTGTTGACCAAGGCAAAGATTACTGGCTCGTTAAGAACAGGTAATTTACGCAAGCAGATAAATCTAATTATAATTCAAGGAATCTCTGTGTGTCTGTCTGTCTGTCTGTCTGTCTGTACGTCGATTATCTCCAGAACTGGGCACCGTATGCAGTTGAAAAATTGGTGGGTGTATTGCTCGGGACCACAGAATGTGCAGTGCCAAGTTGGAAGTTGTTTGGACGAGTGGTTCTCGATAAAGCTGCAAAAAAGCTGATCTAGTTCCATTAAAGATGCATTCCCCGTTGTATTCTGAGTTTCACCACGAAAATTTGGTTTCGTTTTTTTCAATTGCTATTTTCATACCAATATAAAAAAAAATCACTTTTGAATGAGACACTAAATAGAGAAAAACCCACCGATGTTTAGTTATTGAAGTATTTCTTTACAAAACTTGAATTAATTGCGGCCAGACAGTAATTCGGCTCTCATTAGTGCCCTATTACATGGCATTTGAAAATAGGGTAGGTAGGTAGGGAATTCTTTTCTTTTTTTTTTGGCAATTTTTTCCTCCGTATGATCATACGGAGGTGTCTGCATGTAGCAAAGGTAAAAGGTAGTACATGTAATTAAATGGTTTTCAGGGTTTTTCCCCCTCATTTCCCCCCCCCCCCCCCAAAAAAAAAATTAGGGTATGGGCTAACAAAATTGGGTAGGTAGGGTAATCGGAAACAGAACTACCTGTACCATTTTTTTGGCCTAAGTACTTAGGACCTCTGAAACATTCAGTCTTTGTACCTGGACTCCCTCCAGCACCTCTGTCCACACAGGCAGACAAAACAAAACAGATCTGGACAAAAATAAAGACCTCGATGTAGGAGGAGTGCCTTATCCTGCTTTCCTGTTTTTTAATTTTTTTTTTATCTCACTGAGAAGTTATCCCAGAAGAGTTCTTGACAAGTGTTTAGTTTCAATCAAGCATCTTTTTCATATTTTTCGAGGGAATTTCCTTTTTGAACAATTGAAGAGTGCTGAGGTGTAACGTTCAAATTGTTTGTTGAAAATTTAAAAACACTCCAAAATACTCCGCACTTAAGTTTGATTACAACATCAGTATCATCCCCTGCAAACTTGTAATTTTTGTTTTATGAAAATTCACAAAACTTACAATGATTATGCTGTTCTCTTTCCAGTTGGGGTGCGAGCTGGGGAATGCAGGGCTACATCATGATGAGCCGCAACAAGAACAACCAGTGTGGCATTGCAACATCTGCCAGCTACCCCCTGGTATAGGAATGTCATGGCTGCGACTGCTGTTTCCACCCCAGGAATTGGGAAAAGCCTTCTGTTTTTTCTGGGATAAAGAAGGGAACCTATTGCGTTTGCTACAGGCAAATTAATTATGCACTTTGCTTTCAATTTTGTTATCCTTAAATTTGAACTTGATTGAAAAAATTGTTTTTCATTACCGAATCAAATGTAGTTTACTTTAAAAAAAATGTACTGGAGCACTTTCATCTCTCATTTGGTATTGATAACATTGGCTATGGACTTTGTGCATGGCCTATAGAGGGCGCCTTGTGACCACCAATGACATGTCTGTGTGCAGGTAACACTGGCTGCACTGAGTTGTGCATATGGTACTCTATGCGCACTACTTATTTTATTCTGGATGTGCAAAAACCTTCACGTCTTTGCGTGAATGCAACGTGTACAGTGGCAATGCATTCTCTTCTTTTTAACCGTTAATTAGAGGGCACTTGTGCACAGAGTCCAATGTCTGGAACTGATTAAGGAGGTTCTTTTTTGGTCGTCCTTTGAAAAGTCTTGTTAGTCGGGTAAACTGCATAGAAATCTGTGCTGCTAAATACTGCTTGCATTTTGGAGGTTTTCACTGACTGTTGAGTTTCATTGACTGTAAATCCTTGTTTTTGATACTGAAAAGGTAAAAAAAACCACTTCTTAGGGGCAAAGGACTATGCAACATTTCTGTTGTACTGAAAAAATTCTTTCCATCCGAGTTGGCAAGTCTGCGTTCTTTAAGCTTTTCAACTTTCACCGCCAACTTATGCCAAATTCTATTAAACTGCATGTTGCTTCGATATACTGATTGCTTAAAAATTGACTTGTGCTCTTTCTTCTATGTGTATACAATGTACGTAGTTTTGGTTTCGTATTTTGATTTTCAGGGTTGTCATGTGTTGCACTGGTAATATTGTTAGTAGTATTATTAGAAATTTGCATCCAGGGTTCATTGCACTTTTTTTCTTCTTCAAACTTAAGTGTATTGTAGTCAGGGTTTTTACTTTTAAGTGTGTGTGTTCAGCTTGAATAGAAATATTTTTGGATTTTTTTACTCACATTATTTTGTATGTGCAGGTACTGTTATGTGTTTGTATTTAAAGGTGGAGGGTTTTTTGTGGTTGAGTTTTCTTTCATTTTTTGAAGTAGGAATGTGTTCACTATAAGACGTAACTAGAGTTTCAGTTTTTGGACATTGACACATTGATACGATTTCAGATTTTTACCAGTTTTTGTGTGTAAATCAATCATGATCAGATTTTTTTTTATATTATGAAACACAATTCATTGGAGCAACAGTGGCAATTGTTATTACATGTAATTATAGAAACATAGAAACATTGACAATCAAATCCGGGCTAGCCATATTCCAGTCTCTTAAGAACATCAAACTGCTGTTATCATTAAACTTGAAAGCCACGTTTTTATTAATGATCAGGTTTTATTGGTGTATACATGTATTTTACAAAAACAGCTTTTATCATGTTAAACAGCATTGCGTCTTTTCCTAGAATGTATTCTACACCAGTTTTTCACACATGCCAAGCCTTTAAGTATGTCTATATTCATATACATATCGTACCCAGTACTTATACGTGGATTACCTTGAAAGATTGACAGTTTTTTTTATGAAATGGAAACGATTTGCCAGACAAAAAAACTGCTTTGTTTCATTTGGTATGTAATAATGTATATTTGCTAATAAAAAAATGGATGAAAATAAACCTGATTATACAGTTACACTTTAGATAATGGTGATTGGTCTCCAACTTCCTTGCCTTTGGTGCTAGTTATAGCCTTTAACACATGAAGGTTACCCCTTTCATTAATGAAGGTTGTCCCTTTAATTAATTAATGAATTTAAGGTATCCTGTAAAAGAAAATCTACACAGAGTCAAATGATGTACATTAAGCATGAGGAATATAATTATAAACTACTTTCGCTTGCACCAGTATTATTTAGTCGACTTGTCTTGTATTGCAATTTGTTATACCTGTCTTGAATTCTGAGTTTTCATTGGCCTAGAACGATCACGTGTTAAGTTTATAAAAAGTCATGGCACACTCCCTGTGGGATATCACGTACCACTGGGAGTGTGCTATGACTGCATGTGTGGTACGTACGGTGTGAAACGCTTGTATCGTTTGTACCCTCGCTATTTTCACCATGTTTTCACACATGAGTGGGCCGGGAGCAGTGAACTAGCAGACGATCAGCTGTTGGAGCACGCGACACTAATGCATGTGAGAGTTGGCGTTCGATTGTCATGTTTGTTGTGTTTAGCTGTTTGTTTTCGTGATTTTTACATCAATATCCAAAGATTCCAAGACACAGGTACAACAAAACAATTGCTGACTGCTGTGATGTGGGATATGATGTTTTGAACATCCGAGGGGCGCATAGCACCCGAGGCTTCGCCTCGGGTGCATGCTATCATGCTATGCGCCCCTCGGGTGTTCAAAACGACATATCCCACATCACAGCAGTCAACAATTGTTAAATCTACATTATAAAAAGTGGTTGCTAGGCAAATTTGTAAGATATACAGTTTGCTAACCAGGACACAGCGCATATATATACATGTACTTTGGTCTTTCTGAGTAATTAGGCCTCTTGCAACGTTGAGCTAGCCGTGGAACCAGTATTGTTGATGTACCCTAACGTGGCGCGGCCCCTAACATAGTGCACTTTGCTTTTTTCGCCTGTAGTGCCTAGCTAGAGCAAAAGTTTATACTGAAATTTCACAGAAAGTGGCATTTCATCAAGTTCTAAGTACTCCCGTTCATAAATCACGAGTTTATCTACCCGTAAGAAAGTTAGAAGAAAGTTTTATTTCGGCGTGATTTTCCAATCAGTTTATTTCGAAGTGCACATGTCCCGAAAAATAAGAAACAATTTTCTGACAAACTTCTAGATGGGTATGTAAGTAGAGAAAATAATTGTTTATCAGAATTTATCAACTTTACAGAAATTCTTAACTATGATGTTCATTTGGAATTTTCCGAGATTTATTCAAGTGCGCCACGTTGGGGAACACTCAGACGATTTGTGCCCAATTTCCGGACGCCACCGTTGTTGAATTTCGAATTAAATTTCATGAAACCGAAATTGTTCACAGAGGTTAAATAGCAAGCATTAATAAGCTAAAAGTACCAGTATTTCACTGAATGTATTTGAAGTTTGTCAACAAAGAAGTTTGGCAACACTGATGTGGAAAGTCGGGGTAAATTTCGAAGTGCGCCACGTTAGGGAACACCACTCTATTCCGGTGTGTCAACTTTTGCTTTATTTTACCACTTTAACCATTTTATTATAAGTTGTCAACTTTGTAAGTCCGTGCATTAACATATTTACCTGAAGTAATTGATTGAATTGGAGAGACACCCAAAACTAAACTATGTTGTCATGATAATTATGTAAAACCATAAAAAAGGACTGTAATTTATGCTCCTATGCTTTAAAACAATAAGCCCCGAACCTTTTGTGTGCACAAATGAGATGTTGTTGCATACATTTATATAACGTACTCTGTGATTTCAAATGGTGTTCCTCATTTACAAATTTTCATTCCCTGAGTACCGCACATATTTCGAAGGGAGTGGGTGTTAGAGTCAAGCCGTTGACTGCTTTGAAGGAAATGGGCGGGGCATCCTCTGGTCTCTCAAAGGTGAACTGATGCATGAGGAAAGAGAAGAAGATGAACAATTCCATCTTAGCCAGCTGCTCCCCCAGACATACTCGACGACCTGTGGGTGAGAAATAAACAGTTAGGGTGAATTGTCGTTTCTTGAAAAGTTGAGCTACAGCAGACGTGCAAAAGTAAAGTACCAATGACGCCATGCTCTTTCTTGTGTCTTTTCTTACCTGTGGAGAAAGGCAGATGTTCTTCAGGGCGCCTCACTTTTCCATCCCCGTCCAGAAACCTCTCCGGTCGAAACTTCTCCGGTTCGGGCCAGAGGTTCGGGTCTCGACTAACTGCCCACAGGTTCGGAATCACAATGGTGTTGCGGGGGATATCGTAGCCAAAGATTGACGTATCTTGCGAGAACATGTGAGGCAAGCTCAGTGCTCCCACGCTGGCGATGCGTTGCACCTCCATGATGGTCGCCTCCGTGTACGGCAACTTGGGCTTGTCGGCGATGCGAGGCAGACGGTTGCGGCCGACCACCTCGTCCATCTCTCGCTGGACTTTGCTCTGAACCTCCGGGTGAGCCAGCATATACAACAAGGCCCAGCGGAGGGTGGAGGTGGTGGTTTCTGTCCCGCCAACGAAAATTTCGAAGACAGTCAGCAGCATGTTGCTGGGCGAGATGTGACTCTTGATGTTATTCCCCTCGTTGCTCTGGATTTCACCGAGAAAGACGTCCATGAAGTCTCTGGGATTATCCGGATCCAAATTTTGACGGTGTTCGTCGACGTTTTCTTTCAGAAATCCAACAATTTTGTGCAAGTTGGATCGCAGCTCTTTGAAGGTAGGTGTGAATGTTAGATACTGCATGATTGGCAGAAACTGGTACGCAGACCCTCCGCCAACGATCTCAAAGTTCCTGTTCATCATCCTCAAAAGCTCCTGAAACTTGCCGTCAGAATACTCGAATCTTTTACCGAGGGTTACGGAACAGATGACGTTTGAGACGGCATTTCCTAACAACTTCGTCGGATCAAAGGGGATGTCGTTGTGGTTCTTCATCTCTCCGATCAGGTAGCGTGCCTCATCAGCAATGGCATCCTCAAAGCTTGATTTTCCGACACCAAGACCCCTCAGAACGTTCAGGGAGAACTTGCGCTGTTCAGTCCAGCTTTGTCCGGATGCTGAACCTACACCTAAAATAGATAACACCCCACAAATTATTGTTCAACCTATCCGGTATTTTTTTAATTTATTTTTTTAAATATTATAAGGTAACTTCGGTAAGTTAGCCCGGTTGCATGTCTTTGGCAATCGGGCTAACCAGATGAAGTCATATCAAGCTTTAACATATCATGTACGTTTGCACAACAATTCGGTCAGTACGTTTCAAATTTCTATCGCCGCATTTTTTTGGCTGTTCTATTTTGTTGGCTGCTCTATTTACTTTGACTGTAGGCCTACTCAGTATATACACCCCCCCCTTCCCCCTGATGGGGCCAAAAACAATAAATGGAAAGCTTAAGTTCCTAAATATATTTTCAAATTGCCTTAAAATGCAAGAGAAAGCATCGTAGATTTCCAAAATTTGCAGGACATGTTTCTGAACTTTTTAGCAAGAAATAAATTCCTGAGTTCCAGGAACACAATTACCAATAGGGGGGCCTCTGTCGCAGATCTTGCTTCAAATGTGCTCCCAACACGTCACTGACTGTGAGTACATTGATTTTGTGAAATCTTATCAAAGCGAGTAGATTTTTCGAGCATCTCATTGTAATCATGGTAAAAACCACCTCTAAAGGCTCTAATGAGCAACTTGGATTAGTCTATTGACTAATATCTTACCCAGAGCGTCTTTGTCCGGTGTGGCCTTGCTGTAGAAAGTCGTCGGTGGTCTGTCACTGGTATTTGGATGGGCCAGGGCTTTCTTGATGGCTTCGTAGCTGCATAGGACAACCACCAGCTGTCCGCCCAGATTCAAACTGAACACATCCCCGTAGGTATTGGCGAGCAGGGCCAGGGATTTGTACTCGTCGCCTTGCAGGGCTAACTTTGGGAGGTAGCCGATGATAGGTAGTCCAGTCGGCCCGGGAGGCAGGTTCCTTGGTCTTCGAAGAAGCCAAACGACAAGGACGAAAACTCCTAAATAGACCAGTGATGATTCGATGGTCAAATAGCTGGAGATCACTTCCATTTGAGCCATTATGTTCTTTACCGAAAGTGATTTTGGTCGGTTTCTATCAATGAATAATGAATGTGTAAGGGCTATGAATCCGGGTATATAGGCATGTCGGTCCGTTATGAAAACGAAAGATACAGGCCTTCCACTTCCCCGAAACAGTAATTCTGCATGAAGGATTTCCGAAAGTAAAGCCTGTCTGTATCCTGTTTGACTGGTAGTATGACCATGGAGCTATAAAAAGGCCTGTAGAATGTATTGTGCAACATCAGTGATCCGTCGTTAAATGTAAATACACATTGTACTCATTCAACCGTGTCACCAAAGGCAGTGAAGGCGGGACAACCTCGTTCCCACAGTCTACTCTCAGTCGACCTCACCCCTGGAGGAAACTTGCTTCCTGTATTCCGATTCAATCCGGCAAATGCAAATAATGGACTTATATCGATCCGATCCGTGTAATTCGGTCCAATCAATTGTCGTTTTTAAAATCGTCAAAAGAAAAAGGACTCGAAAACGAACCCATACCGTCTACCGTTTTCCAATCATTGTTTATGAAAAAAGCAAATCGTTTACAAATTACCGTTTATGCATCTGTGAAAAGAAAAACAGAAAACAAACGTTTTACCGTTTACCGTTTTCAAATCTGTAAACAGAACAAAGGAGAAACAAATCCTTTACAATTTCTGAAAAGAAAAAGAAAAACTTTTACCAATTATTGTTTTTGAATTTTTGAAAAGGAAAAAAAGATCAAGCAAACCCTTGCTTTTGAATTTTTGAAAAGAAAAGAGAAAAGCAAACCCTTTACCAAGTGCCGTTTTTAAATTTGTAAAAAACAAAAAAAGGAAAAATCCTTTTACCAATTATCGTTTTGGAACTTTTGAAATTAAAAGAAAAGAAAAAGCAAACCCTTCACTACTTTTATTATTGTTTTTGAATTTTTAAAAAGAAAAAACAAAGGAAAAGCAAAACCTTTACCGTTTTGCCATTTTATAATCTGCAAAAAAGGAGGAAAACAAACCCTTTATATTGGCGTTCCCTAACGTGGCGCACTTCGACGTTTACCCGACTTTATTCGGGTAGTGTTCCTAAACCTCTTTGTTGACAAACCTAAATGCAGTGCATTACTGGTACTTTTACCTTATTAATGCTTGCTATTTAACCTCTGTGAACAATTTCGGTGTTATTAAATTTAACTTCCAAAATTCAAAAACGGTGGCGTCCGGAAATTGGGCACAAATTGGCTGAGTGCTCCCCAACGTTGCGCACTTGAATAAATCTTGGAAAATTCCAAATTGACATTTAAGAATTTCTGTGAAGTTGATAAATTTTGATAAACCATTATTATCTCTACTTACATATCCAACCAGAAGTTTGTCAGAAAATTATTTTCTTATTTTTCGGGGCATTTTCAATGGGTTCACTTTGCACTTCAAAATAAAATCAGAAAATCACGCCAAAATATATTTTTCTTTTAACTTTGTAGCGGGTAGATAAATTCGCGATTTATGAACGGGAGATAGAACTTCATGAAATTCCACTTTCTGTGAAATTTCAGTTAAAACTTTTGCTCTAGCTAGGCGCTACAGGCGAGAAGTCAAAGTGCGCCACGTTAGGGGCCGCGCCACGTTAGGGTACATCAACAATACCGTAATTGTAAAATTACAATTCGTCTTGGAGCAATAAATGCTGGCACTTGTTTTTATAATGTAATTATTATTGTGAGTAGAGAAACATAAAAACATTGCAATCAAATCAGGGCTAGCCATAACTGTGACGCAGTCTCTCAAAACATAAAACTGCTGTTTTCAATAAATGAAAGCATGCTTTATTAATGATCCTGCTTATTGGTGTATACATGCATGTATTTACATTAAAAAACGGCTTTTATCATGGTAAGTAACTTAGTGTATTTTCCTTGAATGTACTCTACACCAGTTTTTCACACATGCCAAGCCTTTAAGTAGTATGTCTATATTCATATACATGTACATATCGTACTCAGTACCTTTATGTGGATTACCTTGAAAGATCGACAGTTTTACGAAATGGAAACGAGTTGCCAGATAAGACACAATGAAACTGCCTGATTTTTAATTCTTTTGATGTGTAAATGTATCTATAATTTATATATAAGAGAGAAGTTTACTCGCCCCCGAGACGATGTTTGCTCCTGAAAGGATCCGAGACCGCGGGCTCCCGCTGCGCGAAAATCGCTCCACGTCCGTGGAAAAATGCGGAGGGTGTCTTCCGCCGGGTCGGACACTTCGGGTCGTCCTGATTTTCCCGTACGGACCGGCGATCCTTTTCGTCGATTTTTCGTGACTGCGTTTTTCGCAGGAATTTGCCGTCGTGTGCGCTTTCACGTTGACTGCCTGGCCGCCCCCTGTGCTGGCTTCTCTGCGTGTCTAGACTGTGCGAGGTCAGCGAGGTCAACGTAGGGGTTCCGTTTACGTGTTCTACTCAGCCGTTCTGCAAAAGCGTTCACCAAATTGTGTTATGGGGTGACCTTGGTAAAATATTTTTTCTCCATGGTGCGTGGCCACCAAGTGCCCCTATTCTTTCATATGCTTCGCTTGCCGCCCCTGCGCCGTGTGCAACGAATACTCCGAAGGACTACACATTAAGTATGCCTTGCGCGGTCTGACCAATCGAAAGTCTACACTGCGTAGTATTTCCGGGCTATGCAAAACTGTCGATGGCAACGCGTACTGCAGCCTGCTCCGCACCCTGGAAACGAGGTTGGGTCTACGGTGCTCGCTATTTGCATGATTTGAAGCACAAGCATGTGAGTGACGTGTATAGTGCTCTGTTGCTTCCATCGTGTGTTAATACAGCTCCATGCTTCCACCAAGGCTGAGCGTTGTGAGTTCGCTGCCCGCCACAGTGTTGCGTTATAATTTCGGGGGCCTGTCTGGGATCAACGAAGGATCGATGCATTGCTTCAAACATCGCGATCTTAAACGCAGTCACACAAAAAATCAACGAAAATGTGTCCGATCCGGCGGAAGACACCCTCCACATTTTTCCACGGACGTGGAGCGATTTTGGCGTCGCGAAAGACCGCGGTCTCAGATCGTTTCAGGAGCAAACATTTCTCGGAGGCCGAGTAAAATTTGCTCTCATATAGATGGTTGCCCCAAGTTGAATAACAGTTGACTCGACAAGTTCCTCGCAGACGGTCTCGCAAATTGTAAGACGTTCAAGTTTACGTTTGTTGAAGAGTCCAATATACTGAAACTTAATTATGACCTTCTTAATCAGCCTTCGCCTGTGTACTACGGCAAGCCTTTCAAGTACGTTTTCCCACAAATGCCACTGCCTCACAAAATGCCAATTTAACAGAACGGGAACATTTACAGACTGTTGCCATGGTACATGATTGTTAGTGGTCAGAAATTGCCTCAGATCGCACCACAGAAATTGCTTTTCTATAACTGCATGTCTTCTCAACTAAATCCCCCAGTTACATTCATCTCCCCACATTTTCATCCCCAACTCTACGCCCTACCCGATCTATGATCGGGTAAATCAACGAGGGATCGATGCATTGCTTCAAATATTGTGATCTTTGAACTATGTTGGGTTGGAATAACGAAGAGTGCATAAATAATAATATTGGCGGTTGTTGGCTGTTTGGCCTTGCTTATATTATGGTTGAACCATGCCAACTTGAATAAAATAGTTAAATCGACTTTTTCCTCGCAGGTCTCGCAAATTGTAAGAAGTTCAAGTTTACGTTTGTTGAAGAGTCCAATACTGTACCTTCATAATGACCTTCCTCCATGATTCAGACTATGTAATTTTATGATAACACACTCAAAATTTTTTATTGCAAATGCCACCTTCACGTTTTATTCCATTATGATTTATTGTCAAAACAGTACAATCAGCCTTCGCCTGTGTACTATGCGGTAAGTCTTTCAACTCAGTTTTCCCACATTAACAAACGCGACTGCCTCACAAAATGCAATTTAACAGACCAACGGGAAAATTTACAGACAGTTATACATGCCATGGTACATAATTATCATGGGCGCGGCGTCAATCGGTGGGGGACGGGGGACCCCCACCCCAACATTTTAAAGCGGGCAATATCGTTTGGTTCCCTACCCCCACTTTTTCTTCCCCGAATAAAAATTGTAGCCTACTATAATATTCTTTTGCTCAGAACAGCTGATTCAATGACTCCAAACTCGAAAATGATGTTTAAAAGATGATCTTTTGTTTTACTATCGTACGTGGTCAGAAATTGCCTCAGATCGCGTCACCGTAAATTGCTTTTCTATAGCTACATGTCTTCTCAACTAAATCCCCCATTTACATGTAACTCCCCACACTTTCAACCCCAACACAAATACGCCCTACCCGATCTATGATCGGGTAAATCAGCTTGTATTTGATAAAGGAAAAAAATTGATTAAAATAAACCTGATTATACAGATACACTTTAGACAATGGTGATTAGTCTCCAACTTCCTTGAGTTTGGTGCACAGCTTATAGCCTTTAACACATGAAGGTTGCCCTTTAAGTAACGAAGATTGCCCCTTTAATTAATGAATTAAATGTCTCCTTAAAAAAATAGTCAGTCCGCAGAGTAAATGGTTTCCATAAGCCTGATGAATAAAGAGACTAGTTTAACATGTACAAGTAATTGTTTAATCGACTTCTCGTGTTGCAATAACTGCATTGTTAAAAGTGCCGGTTTGCAAGGCAAATTTGTAAGATACAGGACAGAGCGCATGGATACTGCTCAGGTCTTTCTGAGTATTTCGGCCTCTTGCAGCATTGGGCTAGCCGTGGAACCAGTATTCCGGTGTGTCAACTTCATTATAACTTTACAACTTTATAAGTCCGTGCATTATTTACCTGAAGTAATTGATTAAATAAGAAAGACACTCAGAACTAAACTATGTTATGGCATGTACAACCATGAGGACAATGTGCATGTAATATGCTCTTATGCTTTAAAATAATTGGCATCGAAATGTTGTGTGCAAAGGTGAGATTTTGTATATACATTTATATAATATACTCAGTGATTTGAAATGGTACTCCTTATTTACACATTTTCATTCCCTCAGTACCGCACATATTTCGAAGGGAGTGGGTGTTAGAGTCAAGCCGTTGACTGCCTTGAGGGAGATGGGCGGGGCATCCTCTGGTTTCTTAAAGGTGAACTGATGCAGGAGGAAAGAGAAGAAGATGAACAATTCCATCTTAGCCAGCTGCTCCCCCAGACATACTCGACGACCTGCGGGTAAGAAATAAACAGTTGGGGTAAATTTTCGTTTCTTGAGAAGTTGAACTACACGCGCGAAAGTACCAATGACGCTATTCTCTTTCTCTGTGTCTTTTCTTACCTGTGGAGAAAGGCAGATGTTCTTCTGGGCGCCTCACTTTCCCATCCCCGTCCAGAAACCTCTCCGGTCGAAACTTCTCCGGTTCGGGCCAGAGGTTCGGGTCTCGGCTGACTGCCCACAGGTTAGCAATCAGAATGGTGTTGCGGGGCATGTCGTAGCCAAAGATCGACGTATCTTGCGAGAACATGTGAGGCACGCCCAGTGCGCCCACGCTGGCGATGCGTTGCACCTCCATGATGGTCGCCTCCGTGTACGGCAACTCGGGCTTGTCGGCGATGCGAGGCAGACGGTTGCGGCCGACCACCTCGTCCATCTCTCGCTGGACTTTGCTCTGAACCTCCGGGTGAGCCAGCATATACAGCAAGGCCCAGCGGAGGGTGGAGGTGGTGGTTTCTGTCCCGCCAACGAAAATTTCGAAGACAGTCAGCAGCATGTTGCTGGGCGAGAAGTGACTCTTGATGTTATTCCCCTCGTTGCTCTGGATTTCACCGAGAAAGACGTCCGTGAAGTCTCTGGGATTGTCCGGATCCAAATTTTGACGGTGTTCGTCGACGTTTTCGTTCAGAAATCCAACAATTTTGTGAACGTTGGATCGCAGCTCTTTGAAGGTAGGGGTGAATGTTAGATACTGCATGAATGGCACATACTGGTACATAGACCCTCCGCCAACGAGCTCAAAGTTCCTGTTGATCATCCTCAAAAGCTCCTGAAACTTGCCGTCAGAATACTCGAATCTTTTACCGAGGGTTACGGAACAGATGACGTTTGAGACGGCATTACCAACCAATGTAGTCGGATTTAATGGTTTTTGGTTGTGGTTCTTCATCTCTCCGATCAGGTAGCGTGCCTCATCAGCAATGGCATCCTCAAAGCTTGATTTTCCGACACCGAGACCCTTCAGCACTTTCAGGGAGAACTTGCGCTGTTCGGTCCAGCTTTGACCGGATGCTGAAGCCACACCTAAAATAGATAACACCCCACAAATTTATCACATTTTTACTGTTAACATATCCGGTATTTTGTTTTTATTTAAATACAACTAGGGGTAACTTCGAAAAGTTAGCCCGATCGTCGTTGGCAATCGGGCGAACCAGATGAAGTCATATCGAACTTTAACACATCATGTTCGGCTGTACAAAAAGTCGGTCAATATTGTTATGCTTCAAATTTCTATCGATGCATTTTTTTTGGCTGCTCTGTTTAGTATAACTATAGGTCTATTCAGTAGCGGATGGGGGAGGGGGCGTTTTAGGTTGCACCCCCCCCCCCCACGTTAAGCCGCTGACTAATGTTATGACACCAGTAAAATTGGTCCAAAAATAATACATTGTAAATAGAATGCTGAAGTTCCTAAATTTATTTTCAAATAGCCTCGAAGTTTAGGAGAAGGTATTGTCAACTTTAAAATTTTCCTTGGGACATGTTTCCTAAAGTTTTTTGCCTAAACAAAAACAATTCCTGAAATTCTGGGAACACAGTGACCGACACGGAGGAGGGGGGGGGGGACCTCTGTCGCAGATCTTGCTTCAAATGTGCTCCAAGTGAGTGCATTTAATTGTGTGAAATCTTATCAAAGCGAACCTTAATTGGATGTTTAGAGCGTCTCAGTAGTCATGGTGAAAACTAGTCCGAAAATATGGGAGACTCTCAATACTGAGTCCCAAAACTTAAGGTATTGAAAACATGCAATACAAGAATAGACTGGCACCTGAAACAACCCGTCCAACAACCCTTAAGTACTGTATCAATCAACACTGTACCAAACGACTACATCTGGCATGTTTGATAATACTCTATTTCTACACATTTCTTCATGTCAGCCACCAGACTAACGAAGAGGTCAGTCTTTTGAAACAGACGCACCATATGTTGGACATGACTGTACCAGTCTGGTCTTTGGCCACAAATCACTTGACTTCCCTCTCATGTGCAAAATATTGAAAAAAAGGCCTTAAAAAATTGAATTGAGACTGCAAACTTGTTTAGTGAAATACTGAGGACCTTTGTCTTTACCTTATGAACATTTGGGAGAATTTTGTCAGCTAAAGAGGGAGTAAAGTTGGCCTCATTTCGTTTTGCACATGTTTTCAGCACTCGAGGTCCCAGTCCGGATGAAAACCACATCTAATGAGCAACTTGGATTAGTCTATTGACTAATATCTTACCCAGAGCGTCTTTGTCCGGTGTGGCCTTGATGAAGAAAGTCGTCGGTGGTCTGTCACTGGTATTTGGATGGGCCAGGGCTTTCTTGATGGCTTCGTAACTGTTTAGGACAACCACCAGCTGCCCGCCCAGATTCAAACTGAACACATCCCCGTAAGTATTGGCGAGCAGGGCCAGGGATTTGTACTCGTCGCCTTGCAGGGCTAACTTTGGGAGGTAGCCGATGATAGGTAGTCCAGTCGGCCCGGGAGGCAGGTTCCTTGATCTTCGAAGAAGCCAAACGACAAGGACGAAAACTCCTAAATAGACCAGTGATGATTCTATGGTCAAATAGCTGGAGATCACTTCCATTTGAGCCATGATATATCCTCGATCCTCATATATCTGTGAAGATAGGCTAAGGCGTTGATAACTTGATATATATAAATATATTTTACCGGCTTCTTTATATCAAGGAATAACGAATAGCCTGTGTAAGGCCTATGTACGGTACCAATAGTCAAGCATTTCCGAAACTAAACCTTGACTGTGTCCTGTGTGACTGGTATGCAAAATGACTGCGTCGTTATAAAAAAATTCACATTGTACTGTCTGCATTCAACGAATAGCCTGTGTAAGGCCTATGTACGGTACCAATAGTCAAGCTTTTCCGCAACTAAACCTTGTCTGTGTCCTGTGTGACTGGTATGCAAAATGACTGCGTCGTTATAAAAAAATTCACATTGTACTGTCTGCATTCAACGAATAGCCTGTGTAAGGCCTATATATGTACGGTACCAATAGTCAAGCTTTTCCGAAACTAAACCTTGTCTGTGTCCTGTGTGACTGGTATGCAAAATGACTCCGTCGTTATAAAAAAAATTCACATTGTACTCTCTGCATTCAACGCGGTCATCAAAAGGCCAAGGACGCCGCGGGGGCAGCTCGTTCCAAAGGTCTTACCTCGAGACAACAATAATAATACATGTACATGTACATGTAATGGAAATTTATAAAGCGCCGGTGTCCACCGCAAGCGGCGTTCATGGCCCTTCACTGAAACAACCAAACTTTAACAATGAAGTAAAGGTAAAGGTAAACGGGACGACCCTGTGTTCACAGGAACGGATCAGTGCCCATATCTCTCATCGTTAGCGATTGGGCAATTGAGGTAAAGCGCCTTACTCAAGGGCACAACACGCGTGGCCACGGCGGGGCTCGAACCCACAACCTCTGTTTTCTTGGTGTATCGGGAGATCCTTGCTGCAATATTCTGTAGCCGTTGAAGGCGAGAGAGCTAAAGCGAGTTGCCAGGGTCTACGATGGTAGACCATGGGAGGAAAGTTGCTATTCTGTATTCTGATTCGATCCCGCAATAAATAAAAAGAGGACAATTTTTTCAGAGAGAAACACAATCATCCGATTTTGCCCTCCCCGCACTCCTCCTCCCCACCCCAAACCTGGACGTCAAATGTTACGTCTCAGGGTTGCAGACCGGTATAGACTGCCATAGACGGCAGTGATAAATACGCGCACTTCCAAAAATTATTGGAAATAAAAATACTGAGGCTCACCATCTTTCATTTTCCGTTAATTTTTTTGGTTCACCAATGACTTTTGGCAGAACATCCATCCAAAGATATGATTGATCACCCCTAAAATTAGACCCTAAGCCCATCGCCATTTTGAAAACGGATCGAGGCCTATCCGCTCCATTGGAAAATAGAGCAACTTTTGGGCCTAATTGCATCCAAATTTCACATTAATACGAGTTAACAGTCCTCTGCACTGCTTCCACTCTTCTGTTTTATAAATCGTCAAGTTCATGGCCCTCAGAACGCTCTAATAACGGAAACTTTGAGGGCATGAAAATCGTGATTTGGCAGGCGTATACTATAGCGTATTGATTCGGGCCTATTTACCGGCGTATGGATTCGGGCCTTATATTTACTGGCGCGGCCTGCACCTTACCCTCACTGCCAGCTCTGTGGCTGATCAGTAGACCGAATAGGACGTCAATTCTCGATCGGTGCATGCTCGGTTGGCATTTAGAGGATAGCATTATTTGTAGCGTGGCGCCATCTTTTCTGAGTAAATTATCGGAATGTGGAACGTAATTGCCGACCTACGGACAGCAGTCATCGCTGGCGTGGCTGCCGTCCTGTTCCTCCTGTGGCTGGCCCATCGACAGCCCAGAAACATTCCCCCTGGACCGAGGGGTTGGCCGCTACTGGGCTACTTGCCCAAACTTATTTTGAGTGACGACGTACCCGTCACCCTCACCAAGGAGGCCCAACGGTATGGCGAGGTGATGAGCGTCAACCTCGCTGGTCAGTTGGTCGTGGTGTTGACCAGTCCTAGAGCTGTGAAGGAGGCATTCTACAACCCTGATGTCAGTTCCAGGCCATACAATAATCTATATCACACGTTGGTGCCCAACGGAAAAGGTAAAAAAAACCCAATAGGCCTATTTACGTTATTTTTTAATAACAACTCACACATGCAAACTCAATCATGTACATGTGTAAGACGCTAACACTAGAATATATCATCTTCTCCCGACACCATAGGTGTTGCAACATGCTCTGGTCAGGATTGGTCTGTGCAAAGAAAGTTCTGCCAGTCAATGTTTAACAGTTTCGGCATCGGGAAATCAAGTTTCGAAGACAGCATCACTACGGAAGCAGCAAGTCTTGTCAAGGAGATGCGATCTTACAAGGAGCGTCCCTTCAACCCAACCGCCCTTTTCTGCAATGCTGTCTCAAATATCACCTGTTCGGTGACCTTCGGTAAGAGATTCGAGTACTCGGATCCACGATTTCAGAAGCTGCTGGCCTCCTTGATCCGAGTGTTTGAAGTAATGGGCTCCGGAGGGGCTGTGCAGTTCTTACCCATCGCTCAGAAGCTGACGTTTCTCCCCAGCTACAAGGAGCTCTTGAGCCGCGTTGGCTCAATCATGAAGTTCATTCGAGGAGAAGTTGAGGCCCATCGTCGAGACTTTGACCCGGATAATTGCTTGGATTTCATCGATACCTACCTGAACAAGATCCGGAGTCAGAGTGGTGCTGATGCTACATCTCCGCTCAATCCAGACAACTTACTCGTCACGATTTTTGAGCTGTTCATGGCTGGCTCGGATACTACCTCTTGCAGTCTCAGATGGGCCTTGCTGTTCATGATGGCTCATCCGGAAGTCCAGGCTGGGGTGCAGCAAGAGCTCGATGACGTCGTTGGTCGGAACCGTCTACCGCGTCTCAGCGACCTTCCAAATTTGCCTTACACGGAGTCCACTATACTGGAGATACTTCGCGTGAGGGTAATAGCACCACTCCCTATGCCTCACCGCGCATCGAAACAAACGCAGATTCTCGGTTACCACATCCCAAAAGATACGTTAGTCATTGAGAACCTCTGGGCTCTTTGCAGAAAAGAAAGTGTCTGGAAAGATGCAGACACGTTTGACCCCAGCCGATTCTTGAAGGATGGCAAAGTCTCGTCCCTTCGAGAGAAACTTTCGGTCTTCGGTATCGGTAAGTTAATCCAACTTGGCACTTGTCTGCATTAAAGGGAATATACAACATTTGCTTTTGCTGTAATTTTAGGAGTTGGATGGATTTGGGGGATTAGTATTTCACAGCAAATTTTGTTGCAATGACTTGTTTGAAGTTTGGTGTTCGTAGATGCTGGAAAAACCAAGAAAAACAGTCATGTTCTTGTAGTCTGGTTCCCTGTTCCAATCGGGGAATTGTAAGGTCAAGGAACCAGTCTAGAAGGCTTGTAAAAAAAATCATAGATGTGTAATCGATTGCAAACAAAATTCAGACTAACTAGATTTGGTAAATTGGGCGCACTTTTTGAAAAAAAGCCGTTGGAAATTGATACAAAAATACCACTTTTCGTGAAAATGTCAGCACACCAAGGTGCCATGATTTTACAGGATGCTTTAGACTGTCATTCACTAACAGTCCAGTAAGGTATTTCATCACTAATTTGGAATTTTTGTTTTTTGATGGTTGCAAAATGTTGTATATTCCCTTTAAGATTGACGTCCCCCAGTCTGGAATCACCATGATGAAATTTCCCAGTCTAAAATCAGGTTTCAAAATAAATGATTACACATTTATGTTTCAAAATAAAAGATTACACATTGTTTCAAGTTTTTATTTGAAAATTACCTTCAGACTTATCTGATATTTTCCGGTCTGGAATCACCGTGATATTATTGTCTGGTCTGAAATCAGGTTTCTCATTTTTTTCCCCAAAATTAAAAATCAACCAGTTTTTCAAATATTTGATTCAAAAATTGCCTTTAGACTTGTTTGTTGCAACTTACCCGAAATTACTGGTCCGAATTTCGAAATTGGCATCCAATCATTATTCATAGCCACAAAATAGAACAACCAACTATTGACGCAATGGTGTTGTAGTGTTTTATTGAAACGAATGTCAGTACAAAAGAATGCAACATTGAGCCACTCTTGGAGATGGTGTGCTGTTGGAAACAGCCTGTCTCAAAGAATTTCCTTGTAAACAGAAGATAAGTAGGAGTGTTTTTTTTTAATCACCAAACACAATCCCCCATTTTTTCCATTTTCTACATGATCCTTGTAGGTCGTCGGGCATGTTTCGGGGAGAAGTTGGCGCGGATGGAGTTGTTCATCTTCTTCTCTTTCCTCCTGCATCAGTTCACCTTCAAGAAACCCGAGGGGGCCCCGCCCATCACCCTGAAGTCTACCAATGGTTTTGTTGTGGCCCCACTACCTTACCAGACCTGTGCGGTGTCACGAGACTAGATCGGCACTGAAACCATTGTATATCAAGAGAAGCACATTGCTACCGCTAGCCTGAGAGCGTTGATTTGCATAGTTCAGGTATACGTTTCCACTTTTCCATACAATTCATGGTTTTTGTGGTTTTTCGTATCTGGCATTCAACACAGCTGTTGGTTACAGTGTGGTGCTAAAAGAGTAACGAATACACACACAAATCGCTAAATAGGAATACATTTGCTTATCATTATTTACCTCTGTAAAATTGGAGACTCAAATGGAAAGACTCTTATACTTCTCCAGCATACAACCTTTAATATCGAATTTAATGTTTTGTAGAAATGTAAATCCACTTGCAAGAAGCTATACAGTTTTCAATGTTTGATTACATGTGTATTCAATTTTTGGAAGAGACACATATTAAGACCGCCTCCCATGCTGTAATAAACATTAACCTATTAACCTTACATTCTGTGTATAATTGAATCTGTTTTGTCTGGTTACTCAAAGAGTGAAACTGCTTTTTATGCGTATGAGCGAAGTGAAGCAGCATGGAAGGGGAATATTGCGATAGTGTATTCCTTCTGGGTTGCATCCACCCAGACTGAGAACTTTGGGGTGTGTGTGTGTGGCAGGGCCCAGTTTTAGTTGTATATTTTCATGTATTTAATGTATAGTGTATTAAATAGGAGTAGCTCCCCTTAGAAAAAGAAATCATTTTAGTTACTCAAGATTCCCCCCCCCCTTTTTGTTGGTAGTGTGTCCCCCTGTTTGTTTACTTTAGCCCACATGTTCCCCCTATATAAGCTGCCACATGGTCAAGCCACAATTCAGTCCATCCAGCAGACCAGCAGAGACAAGTCATTCATGCATATATATTTTCCTCCTAACTGGAGTGCTGTCCTGATTGGGTTCAAGTCTGTTGTTGGAGTCATTGACTTTATTCCTGCTTGAGTGTCTTTTAAAAGATCCACTATTCACACTGTGTTGGTTTTTAACTTGGTTTTATCATTGGTTTTAGATTTTATGTTTTAAGTCTCAATTTCTTGGTTTAAGATTTTTGTAAATAAATTCTTTTTGTCTTTGTTGTTCTAAATCTAGAATTCGTCTCTGGTCTCTATTAATTCAATTAGAGATCTTCGAAATACTGCATCGACGCGTCACGCACACATTTTTATAAAGTATGACATTTTTAAAAGTTGGTATATAGAGCCAACGTGCCTTTTACAAAATTTGAATTTTCTTTTCCGAACGAAATATGAAGGAACTATTATGTCCTGTAACAAATAAATTTGCTTGTTTGAGTTTGCAGGCCTTTACTCAGATTTGAAAGTTGGCTTTAACTGACGCGCTCCAGTTCTGAAATTGCTCACATGTGGCTTTTTTCTTGGCAGGGCCAAGATTTAGTTGTGAAGTTTTGTCCGATAGCGATGTAGTTAATGTCCAATAAGTTGGGTTTTTTAAGACAAATGGATGAATTCACTCTGTGTTCAGGAAAGTTTGAGTTCTGTGTTCAGGTCAGGTCAGGACAAGGTTAAGAATTAAGTTTTACTGCTCTGTGGCAACTTAACTCAGAAGGTAACAAATTTAGGATTTATAGCTTGAACTCAGAGGGTATAAGGACAATTAAGATTTACTGTTCTACAAATGGATGTCAACTTTGAACTCATGACCTTCCTACTGGTCACGTTCAGGGTGCAGAGTATAGTTTCATTGTTTACAGCATTGGTGTATTTAGTAGCTCCCCTCGGGAAAAAGAAATCATTTAAGTTTCAGTTTAGACCCCCCCCCTTCCCCTATATAATCTGCCACATAGTTAAGCCTCATTTAGTACAGCCAGCAGACCAGCAGAGACAACTTCACATTTACTATATGTTCCTCCTACCTGGAGTGTGTTCCTGCTTGAGATTGTCTGCTTGTCAAGTCATTGATTTTCGCCAAAGTGTATTCTAAGATCCATTAATTCACACTGTGTTGGTTTAAGTTTCTTTTTAAGTTGGTTTTTTAGGTTTTGGTCTTTAACATGGTTTTATCATTGGTTTAAGTTGGTTTTAAGGTTTATGTCTTTGGTTTTTTAGGTTTAAGTTTTTGGTCTTCATCTTTAGTTTTGATTTTATGGTATCGGTTATTGGTCTTTGATTTGAAGTTCTTGTAAATAAATCCTTTTTGTCTTTTTTGGGGGTTTAAAATCTAGAATGTGTGCCTGTGTCCCTATTAATTCAATTTCCTTGCGACTTTTCCCTTCAAAGATCCCAAGTTTAGTTTAGTTGTAGTAGTTTTGCGAGTTCCCCAGGTGTGTCATTTTTCACGGTTACACACACTATTTAAAACGAATTAGGAGCGTCCCGTTCTTAATTCGAAAGTTGAAATTAAATAATTGATTGCTTGGTATGGACGATTTTTTTCGTGCGATGTCTTATTTGAAAGGTCGTTGAAATTTTCGATTTTGGGGATTTAATTCCATTTGTAATTGTAAACAACATAGTTATTAACGATCATAAGTAAGACTTTTTTGAGACGACGACTATGGAAAGACGTCGCGCCGGTAGATACTATCAAATTCTAGCACTGTACAAGAGTCGCCCAGGCCTCTATCCAGGAGGGGGGGGGGGGGGGGGAGGTGGCGGGTGTTCCAACCCCCAGCTCTGTTAAACAATTGTTTTCCGTAGAAATTCTCTGAAAATAATGTGAAACCCCCCCCCCCCCCCCTCCGCTCTGACACCCTCAAAAATCTATACTGGTAATAACGGCCGCCGGAATTTTTCAGGGGGGGGGGCTGGAACATTCATGGGGGGCGTCATGTAGATCAGTGAGGGGGGGGGGGCGACTGGGGGGGGGGGCGACAAGGTTTCAGGGGGGGCTGTCGCCCCTCCCCCCACGCCCCCCCCCCCCCGTGGCTGTGCCACTGCGTCCGCCTGTGCACAACATACGGACAGCAGAGGCAGCTTCGTCGTGGAATATTAGTACGCTATTCTGTATAATCGTCAAATTTGAACCGCGCCCAAATAGTATGGTGCGAGCCCCCCCCCCCCCCATGAGGCCAAAATTTCCGGAGAAAAAAATCTGTCTACATTGCAGATTTTTGGGGGTTGATGAACTCCCCCCCCCCCTTGCCAAAATGTCTGGTTCCGCCCCTGCCGCCTGTTGGGTTCCACCCTTTTGGCGGATTCATCATCGGCAGTTTTTCAAGGTGTCAAAAGGCAACTTATGAACGGACGAGCCATCGGCTGATATCCTGCTGCCTAGCTGCTTGGTCGTGGCCCACATGCCTTCCCACATTCTGGGGACTCCAACAATACTTTCTTACCCATTTCATTTTCTCATCCTACATGAGCTACAGCAACTTCATTTGGGTCAAAATAGTGATAAGTCGATATCACATTTCACATCAATGTACCAACTTACGTCAGAGGTAGATTTGGTAACTTTTGCTGGGGATGGGTTGGGAGGAGGGGAGTGGTTCAGGCCCGTCAGATTCAGATACACATGTACATACTTTATTGTGTGAGAGCAGGAGAAGGGTTCGACCCCCGCCCCATCCCCTCTGGATCCGTGACTGCATGTAACTGACAGTCAAAGGCAGTCAAGTCTGTAAAGGCCCCATGTTATGGAATTTTCCAATTCAATCCTTAAAGTACATTGGGGTTTTCCACTTGACTTTGTTTTTCTATTTTGTATTTCCAGTTTTAAGGGTGAGGGGCTTTGTTTTCTTGCGTTTTCCGATTTTGCGAATATCTGTTTATTTGGGGAATGTTCACAATTAAAGAAACGTTATTATTTTGAAACATGTAATAAACACATTACAATGTACATTTTAATTTTGGCCCGGTACAATATTGCATACTGCGTTTCTTACTTCAATTGAAAATTGCGACATTAATAATGGCATAGTCATATTGATGGAACAAAACTTCGTTTTGATTATAGTCAATTATTAAAAATTCATTGATTTATTACATAGACCTTTGTTTTGTTTTTGATACTACCATAGGCCTGCCCAGCAGATGTAATCATGAAACTAATTAAACCAAAGTTTTAAAAAATAGAGGCTAAAAAAAAATCAAAAAGTTATGTGCTAGCCAAGCATTCAGGGATCGGTCTGAGCCATAACAATGCCCCAGCCAATCCCTTAGTTCTCTTCCGGGGTCTCGGCGTCCCCGACCAATACACACTTCCTTCCCTGTCCATCCATGTAACCCCGGAGGGCCAGGCACCATGTAAAAGCAAAGAGCTAAGGGAGGAACAGGGCGGCCCCTAAGCCCTGATCCTCCGAGTGGACCACATGCCCTGAACCTGTACGAAGGCGCCAACCTGGAACTCGCGGACAGTACCAGCCGCAGTGCTTACCGATTAAGCTAAGGTACAGTTGGTATTTTACGACGGGAAATTAAACATCTTATAATGACTGAATAGAACGCGTGCGTTGAAAAGCAAAAAGACACCGACGGGATTCGATCCCGGGCTCCGCGATTCGTGGACGACGGATCTAACCACTCGGCCATCAGGCTTCCTTAGAATGCTCCTCAAAAACAATTTGTCTTAATAATAGGCGGAGCAACCTGGAACATTGCTGTGTGCATCTGTTTTGGCTTCATGGACGAACAGATTTGAAGAACAAGATGAAGTCAATTGAAGTCGGTGTTTCGGGCAGTAATGAGTCAACTGTTTTCATTTGTTTAGACAATTGTATACGGCAGCCTCGTTAGTAGTAGGCCAATATGTGCACTACTTATCGTTACGCAACAATTAACACTTATTACTATGTAGGCTATTTTGAATTTTGGCGGGATGGGGGGGGGGGGGGGGTTCAGGCCCGTTAGATTTCTATATCCGATCTGATCATGTTTGTAATATTTAGCCTATTTTGTGTGTGTCAGAGCGGGGGGGGGGGGGGGGGGTTCCAGCTGGGTGGGGGAGGGGTTGGGGTTCGAACCCCTGATTCGCGCCTGACTAGGCTACTGTTTGTATTTGGAGAGATACAGATTCTCAACTCCATCACCACTATTTCAAGAAAATACGGACGTTTTGAAAAAAAAGGAAACGAGAATTTGTTTTTACAGATTTATTTGGTAACACTGTTAATCAGGCCTCTATGCCTATTCCGTTCGCTGTTCCCAACAGTCCTTCACCAGGCTGTAATCAAACATTATTTTCCTGAAAAATAAAGTAAACAGTACGTTCTCATCCTTAATTCTAAAAAAAAAAACACCCAAAAAACAAAACAAACAAACCGTAAATATACACGAAAACAACATTACACAAAAACACCACATTACACCAGGGGAGCTGTTCACGATACCGATGTGCCTCCTTTATGATAGCGCTTCGTACGTACCCCGCCCTGCAAACAGGGCCTAGGGTGCATGGGCCGGGAATTAGGGAAAGGCTGATGAGCTTCACAGAATCTTGTGAAGGAAGTAGGGATGGCATTGGTAACTTATCATACCCTATATATGAAGGCATAATTAAAGCTGCTGTTACAGTAGCTTTTTAAAGGGTGCAGGCTAGTCTGGTTCCCTGACCCCTTTGTCCTTTGGACTTGCAAAATATATTTAGGTGGGGCCGGGAAACAGTCTACAATCCCGGCCAAAATGATTGGGACACTTCCTGAGCCTAGCAACAGTCACCCACTCCCCCGCTCCCCCGGCCAATGTTGTTCTCTCCAGCTGATGGAGCACACACCGCGCAATGAGAGACAACATTGAACGTGGGCCAGGGGAGGGTGGGGGCCAAGCGAGATTCGGCCAGGATTGAAGCTCCATGCTCTGACCGGCCATGCTCTGGCCATGCTCTGGCCCACAGAGATAAAGCCCTAACCCATTAAGCTGCCCAAACTACTTCAGTGCAAAACAAAAGTATAAAAGTAAAAGATCGTGCTCGGCTGTTTATTTATCATATTTCACAGTTCAAAAAAGAAAACAAAGTAACAGTTTAATACTCAAAGTATTATCTTAACATTGCTATCAGCTCACATGATGAAATTTAGTTGTAAAAATTGAGGCTGAATCCCTCAGGCAGGACTACTTTTCCACCTTCATCAAACCATGGAGCTTGTGTTTATAGCTCCATCATGATGATCAAACTACATGTACATGCTTAGGATTAGCGGTGATAAGAATCTTAAATCTTCCAGGCCCTCTTTTTTGATAGAGTACAAACCTGGCCGTCATTACGTAATATTTATGGCCATTTTCCAGAATTACCTCTATAGCTCATGGCATTATTTTGAGCTTGGGTCTACCTTAAATTATCGGAATGTGGAACGTAATTGCCGACCTACGGACGGCAGTCATCGCTGGCGTGGCTGCCGTCCTGTTTCTCCTGTGGCTGGCCCATCGACAGCCCAGAAACATTCCCCCTGGACCGAGGGGTTGGCCGCTACTGGGCTACTTGCCCAGACTCATCTTGAGTGACGACCCTCCCGTCACCCTCGCCAAGGAGGCCCAACGGTACGGGGAGGTGATGAGCGTCAACCTCGCTGGTCAGTTGGTCGTGGTGTTGACCAGTCCTAGAGCTGTGAAGGAGGCATTCTACAATCCTTATGTCAGTGCCAGGCCATACAGTAATCTATATCACACGTTGGTGCCCAACGGCAAAGGTAATTATCAAGGAATTATGTCAAGTATAGTCATAACCAGACTGGGACCTTGAGTGCTGAAAAACATGCAAAACGAAACTGGCAAGCTCACTCTTCGGCTGTCAACATTCAACAATAAAGATATCTCCAATATATAGGGACGAATGCTGCATCCTGACGCCACTGTTTTCCTTCTTATCTAAATGAAGATCAGTCATTGCAAAAATGTTGAAAAGACATGAATCTGGGACTGATGAGAAAGATGTGATTTTGTTACAAAATACTTTGAAAATGCACTCGACCCTCCATAGACTAAATACACAGCCAAAGAAATTGCGTCTGGATACTATATACATTCAAACAATTAATAATACATTTAAATATAATGAAATATAGTTCCATGTGTAAATCTGCATGACACAATACGAATGACTTCGGTGGCGTACAAGCAGTGCCGCAGTTTGGGTAAGAAAGGGGTTCAACTCTATACTGAGACCCAAAGTGAACAAACTACAAACAAACCAACCAAATCAAACCACGAATTTTACTTTGTTTGTGGCATCACTTTCATGAAAAAAATTATCGGCTACTGAACAATTAAGACTGATCTCAGGTCACCTTTTTTGTACAGGAGGTCAGCTTTTAATTTAGTATCATCCGTGTCCCTTTAGAAGGTTGCACCCTATCAGAAGGTCTACTAATATTTGATAAAATGATTAGGAGCGAGACCGGTTGGCTGCAGTACAAAGGATTTTAACCCCCATATGTTCTGCAGGTTCCAGGGGGCCAGCAAAGTGTCCTATATACATGTAGTTGTACCTGACTGACTGACTAACCGACTGACTCCCCACTGCTGTGTGATATCAAACTAAAATGTCGACAGTCATGTTTTTTTTAAAATAACGTACGTGCTTCAGATTTATTGTATTGTTCCTTGAATAACCGGCCAAAACTTGAACAAGTACATGTACCTTTTAAAACCCAATAGTTACGTTAGTTTAATTTGTAGCAATTTATACATGCAATATGCAAACTCAAAAATCATCACTCACACTAGAATATATTCATCTTCTCCCGACACCGTAGGTGTTGCAACATGCTCTGGTCAGGATTGGTCTGTGCAAAGAAAGTTCTGCCAGTCAATGTTTAACAGTTTCGGCATCGGGAAATCAAGTTTCGAAGACAGCATCGCTACGGAAGCAGCAAGTCTTGTCAAGGAGATGCGATCTTACAAGGAGCGTCCCTTCAACCCAACCGCCCTTTTCTGCAATGCTGTCTCAAATATCACATGTTCGGTGGCCTTCGGTAAGCGATTCGAGTACTCGGATTTAAGATTTCAGAAGGTGATGGCCTCCTTGATCCGTGCGTTTGAAGTGACGGGCTCTGGAGGGGCTGTGCAGTTCTTACCCATCACTCAGAAGCTGACGTTTCTCCCCAGCTACAAGGAGCTCTTGAGCTGCGTTGGCTCAATGATGGAGTTCATCCGAGGAGAAGTTGAGGCCCATCATCGAGACTTTGACCCGGATAATTGCTTGGATTTCATCGATACCTACCTGAACAAGATCCGGAGTCAGAGTGGTGCTGATGCTACATCTCCGCTCAATCCAGACAACTTACTCGTCACGATTTTTGAGCTGTTCTTGGCTGGGTCGGAGACTACCTCTTGCAGTCTCAGATGGGCCTTGCTGCTCATGATGGCTCATCCTGAAGTCCAGGCTGAGGTGCAGCAAGAGCTCGATGACGTCGTTGGTCGGAACCGTCTACCGCGTCTCAGCGACCGTCCAACTTTGCCTTACACGGAGTCCACTATACTGGAGATACTTCGCGTGGGGGTCATATCACCACTCCCTGTGCCTCACCGCGCATCGAAACAAACGCAGATTCTCGGCTACCACATCCCAAAAGATACGTTAGTCATGGAGAACATGTGGGCTCTCTGCAGAAATGAAAGTGTCTGGAAAGATGCAGACACGTTTGACCCCAGTCGATTCATGAAGGATGGCAAAGTCTCGTCCCTTCGAGAGGAACTTCCGGTCTTCGGTATCGGTAAGTTGTAAACCAACTTGATTTAAAAATGACCGGTCGTGTTTTCTGGAAATCACCGTTCTAAGATTTCCCAGTTTGAATTTACCGTGCTGAAATAATGCGGTCCTAAATTTCCCGTGCTTAAATTGCCAGGCCTGAAATTACCGTGCTGGGGTTACTTTGATCAAAATTCCCTTGGGTCCAAAAGCAGATTTTTTTTTCAAAACTATAGACCAACCATTGGATTAAATAATTTGATTCGAAAATAACCCAACGACTTGTATGTGTAAAACTACCTGAAATTACTGGATAAAAATCACCAGGAACGTTATAGCCTAGTCTGGAATTTCCCAGTCCGAAATCACCATGCTGAAATTGCCCGGTCTCAAATCATGTCTGTTTCAAAATTTCCTTGTAGACAGATGATAAATAGGCACCGTTTTTTTTTGACCAAACACAATCCCCCATTATTTTCCATTTTCTACATGATCCTTGTAGGTCGTCGGGCATGTTTCGGGGAGAAGTTGGCGCGGATGGAGTTGTTCATCTTCTTCTCTTTCCTCCTGCATCAGTTCACCTTCAAGAAACCCGAGGGGACCCCGCCCATCTCCCTCAAGTCTACCAATGGTATTACTGTGGCCCCACTACCTTACCAGACCTGTGCGGTGTTACGAGACTAGATCAGCAATGCAACCATTTTAAAATACAGTATTAATTCTTCGATTCAAAATCTGTCAACAATTTTAAAGTTTTGCTGGCGGATATCATACAGTGTGAGTAAAAAGTATTTTAAAAAAAATCGAAATCCAGCTGTCGGGACTGTTGTTTTAGTGAATTGGGCTTCCATATCCTAGATTTTGATAGTGCTACACACGCAGAACTTCACTTAAACGATAGTCCCGACATTTGGTTTTCGTTAATTTGTTTTTACTCACTTGTTTCTTTTTTTGGCATAAACCCTATGTTTTTTTCTTAAATTTCGGTAGAGAAAAACTTATAAAATGAATTGAAAATGCAGAGAACAATATGTCACTGTGTGGAGACTTGATTTATTTGTACACTTTTTACATTAAATGCAATCATGTCATACATATGCATCAAAAGAAATAATTATAACTGATACCAGCTTGAGGACCACTGACATAAATTCATTCAGAAACAAATAACAAAGCCATTCTCAAAATCTCACCCTAATTTCAATTTCACCTATTCCACAAATATTCCCATTTATCAAATTTTCTTTAAAATGTGACATAGGTTAAGACCTAGAGTTGTGGCCTTTCGAGGCCCTTATTTTTCCTACCGAGAGACAGATGTATTATCCCTCGTTGACAAATTTTGCAACCTAAAGAATAGTTAACTTACTCTCTTTTCAGACTGGCATTCACAAAAATTTTGCCAAACCAAATAGTATCAGGAATGGCATCGGGTCGACCCAAAAGAGATTTAGGTTTCAGATAGATGAATTCTAATTTTCCATGAATTAGACCTCTCAAGTCCTTCCGAAGTATGACTGCAACATTCTATCTTTCAAATGTCAAATTGTTAATGGTAGGGTAGATCATTTGTCATTTGGGCATTTTGTTGTTTGAAGCAACAAAAGTGCTCAAAATCTAAAGATGGGTACTTAACAACTAACCTGATAAGTTTGAGCTCTAGCAATGCTGTATATTCCGAGAAAACAATATTCTAGGATCTCGGTTTCAATTCAAAAGTTGCCGAGTCATGTTTTGAACTGCGCCCGAAATCAGTGCCGGGGACATGTTCTTGTACAGCCAACTGCAGCTACACGATGTTACTCACTGAACTGATGAATAATAGCAACTACGCGCACGTGTGTGTCGTGCCAACGCTTGTGCGCACCCATTCACGGATTTGCCGAATTACAAACCAACTACTAACGGAAATTACCAAAAATGCATCACTTGACACGTCTTTGGAACTGGCCTGCTTTTATTGTTTTCTTAAAAATGACAGCATGCCAGAAAGAATAATTCACAGGGAGTTTAGAGCCATTACTTTCTTTAAACCAAGTAAGCTTTTCAACAATACATTTGTCAGTTACTTTTTGGATAGCTGCAAATGATCTACTTTACCTTTAAGTGCTTAGTCAAATATCTTTGGATTAATATGGCTTGGTACGACTATGGAACGCAGACTAAAACCGGCGTTAGATTTCCATTATTTTCTGTAAAAGTACACATTAAAAAACAGGATAATTATGTCAAGTTTGGGTCGTTTCATAAAAAGACGACAGCACTTTTTTCTGATACCCTGACCGACAGACAGGGCAGACCTTGGTCTGGGCCAGGGACAACTCCTCAAACGCTTGCAGACAGACAAGATGGAACACGTGGGTGCAGGACAGCAGCACTGTGTGTCTATGACCGTGTCTATCACCGTGTCTATCACCATCCCGGTCAGCACTAGTGTCATCATCATTATCAATCCGTGTATGTTTCCTGAGACTATGTGACGTCCCACTTGGTGCGCTAGTGACCCCAGTGTCTCGCTGCCGAACGCGGTTCTTCTTTTTAGCACTTGAATTATTTCCAGGTCTGTTGGGGGGTCTGTCACTATGTGTGTCTTTGCCCCGATGCTGTATGTTGGGTGCATTGGTGATGGGCTCTGTGTTGTCTGGCTGGTGCAAAGGCATAATGCATATTGGACACTCGGTCTTGCCTCTCTCCACAGCCTGAAAAATACATGTATTCGTCAGAGAAATACGACTTTGAAAGTAATAAAGACACTGACACATTTCTTGTTTTTCTGCTAACTTTCAAAGGATAGACATCAGACTCCATCTCACATGGATATTTTCGACACATCTTTATAGCGCTTGGTAGTTTTCAAAAAAAAAAAAAGGTGACTGGTGCCCAAATAGTTTGGGCACCAGTATCGCTTGATGGTAAAGCACATTTATTAAGATTTAGGAATGACTATTACATTACATCTCAGGTCCTGTAATTTAACTGGTTTAGAACTGAAACAAGTTATGTTTGTTTAGTCAAAGGTGACAACATTTACATCAAACTAGTGGTTGGAGAAATCAGAGATTTCAAAATCTGGTTATCATTTGTTTTCAAAGCGCATAAGGATTATCGGATTATACCGGAAGTTCCCGTCCAGCTCACAGTCATGCCAAGATGCCAACAAAAAAGCGCCAATGACTGGGTATAGTTTGCAGGATTCAATGACCACTGGGCCTTCGCAAAACAAAAAAAAACGCTTCAGAGCTGTTATGTTGAAACTCTGGTGGGAATTCTCTGACAACTCGAATGGGCAGGCGATTCATACACCAAGAAGACCACTAGCAAGTGAATACAGGTACAATCAGAGACCATGGAGCAAATTGGCAATGCTTCAGTTGTTTTCTTTAGCCTGTGTCACAAAACAGGAAGGCTGAATTTTGTTTAAGGTTGGATTCGAATATCTGGTTTCCAAAAATCAAACCAAACAGTGGAATTCAAACCGAATTTTAAATAATCTGGATTTTAATCCTATCACTACAGAACTTTGCACATTATGTGATGGGCCAAAACAACCCATTCGACCCCAGCAAGATGGTTTGTTGAGTGGTGAAACATCAACAATTTTGGTTGAAGTTCTCCCAAGTAAGTTTTATCTCACAAGCTCACAAAAGGCATCAAACATATCAGTCCTCACTAAAGTAAAAGTTTAAAAACCACATTTCAGTCCTTCTGATTTGAAAATCACAGGCGTGTGGAAAAAGGCACACCTGGATTTTTCTAGGCGTGTGATTTTCTAGGCGTGTGATTTTTCTAGGCGTGTTATTTTTCTAGGCGTGTGATTTTCTAGGCGTGTGATTTTTCTAAGCGTGTGGTTCTGTGGTCCAAGCTGGGACTGAACAATCTGGATTTTTTTTCATACTATTCATCTTGGTTAACAGTAAAGCCATTTTCTTTTCACTGACATACTTTTTCCCCACTAATTATGAAGCATAATTATGCCGAGGTGTGCGGTACAGAGGGATCAGGCGTGCGATTATTCGCACTTCTCAGGAAGCTTTTAGGCGTACGATGGCGTGGGGGTGTGATCGCACACCTTAAATCAGAAGGACTGACATTTTGCAATAAGCAAAATTTATTTTCCAGGACTTTTTGCATTATTAATCATAAGTACTTGTAAGGAAAGAAACACAAATGAGCACTCTACCTTGAGCTGTATCGAGTCCCATTCCTCCGGCGTTATGGTCCGTAGATTGGACGCTTCCAGGTTCTTAAAGACATCCCTACTGGCTGTAATGGAACGGTCCATTTCTGCCAAGAAGGAGTCAATGTTGGTGTCGTACGATCGCAATAACCGTTCTGTTATTGCCTGGAGCTAAACAAAAAGGGGAGAAATACACCAAAATATGAGAACTGTTACTGTAACGACCTATTAAAAGATGAATAGGTTAAAAGTTGATTTAAATATCACAAATAAATTGTTAGACGAATGTTTCAATAACATTTTTGATTTGTATAAGCATTTAATTGTTTACTTTTGGAATTGTAATCAGACATTTAGCAATGTATGCAGTTTATTTATAATAATCGACAACGTTCATGTTGACACAGAGAGTTTTAAAAAGTGTGTTAATTTTGAAGGTTTTGAATTCTATTTGTTTGGTTTGCGAGGCCTCTGCAAGTTCACTTTTCTGAACTTTTTACAAACCCAATACATGTACAATGAAAAATTAACCACATACCCTCTCCTCGTAGAATTTCTTTCGCAGTCTGGGGTCTTTTGGTGGCACCGTTTGCCTAAGTTTACGATACCAGCTGTAGACGACATATCCCCGCCAACAAGCTTGTATCCTGGAATTGTACGAAATTAGAATTTTAATTGGTCTAGAAAAAGTTTAAAGTGAAGAAGTTGGAATTTAGATTTGGAAAAAAAAGCCATGCCACAGATTTGAATTTCACCTTTGCCTTTAGTTTCCAAGAGAGCAAATTCAGACACGAAATATAGTTAATCATAGTTTGACCAACTTTGGTCGATCAAAGGATGATTGGAGCGGGGATCCTCTACACAAGGATAAACTACTTCCCCAAATTTCTGGTTAGAGGCGTGATACGGCACTTGCGCGGAATGCGTGTGCGAGACACGGCGCGCGACTGCAGTCTTTCACTGTGGTCAAATTTCTGTCAGGCCGCCAGCTGTCGGCGATCATGGCGCGCGCGCATTGTTCTACATGTTCTATGCGTTGTTCTATGCGCAGACACGGCATATCACGCATGTAGACAATCCGTTCCGTACATTTTGTACACAAGCTCAGATGAGTCTGTTATCCTTGTGTGGAGGATCCTTGGGCCAAGTTCGCGCAAGGACTATAGTTGACCAATGGTTAACTAACATTTGCCCGAACTCTGTCTAGTCGACGGTGGTTGACTACGCTAGTCGACTATTTGGAACCAGCCTACTGGGGTTGGTTGCTTCGCTGGTAACCAATAGCCGCGCGCATTCATAACGCTAGCAGAGAGCCAGGATCCAGAAGTTTTGTGATGACATTTTGACCAGCGTTTGACTTGAGACGTTCGCACGTTGCTATCAGTGCGCAGGCGTAAGGTACGTCACAAATCAACCACTAGTCGACTAATGGTCCTTGCCCGAACTTGGCCATGATTGGACTAACTGTAGTCGACTATTTTGAACTGGACCACAGGGCACGGTTCCATCACTGGTTACCAATAGCCGTCTGCATCATAAAGCACAACGGGGAGCCAGGACCCAGACGTTTCGTGATGACGTTTTGACCATTGTTTGACTAAAAGGCATTCGTACGCTGCTATTTGTGCGCAGGCATAAGTTACATCACAAATCAACCACTTGTCAACTAATGAACCTCGCCAGAACTTGCTCTTACATGTTGGCAATAACAGCACGTAACTATACTCCCAATCAAACTAAAAAAAAACCAATGTGCAAGGGGGTCAATGGCATCACTATAAAAACTTTGATTGGAGGACTCACCGTATGGCACACCTAACTCTGTGGAGTTTAGCACCTTCATGTATGACCCTCGTCTGGTACTGCTCCTTCCTACACATGGGACATGTCTTCTTTCCAGTGAACCGTTCAAATGCTTGAAGACAGTTCTGAGAAAAATAAACAAATATTCTCATGTTTCAAGTATACTTTTTTGTGGATCAAGAATACGGACACTGACAAGCTGGCAGATTCAACAAAACCATCCCAGCAGTCAAAAATCAATCGAGTGACAGTTTACAACTGTTGAGGGCTCTCTGCTAACACAAACCAGAATTGACTGGCTGTGACTGTTTATGTAACTTGATACAGCTATGCTTTGACTGTAGGAGATTGATAAGCCAGCTGTGCCTACCGGTTACTTGCTTTTGTTGATGGAATTTGACTAGTCACAGTGACTACAAGAAAAATATTATGATCTGACTGTTGGTAACTAACCTGTGTATAAGTTATTGAATTTCTGTCTCAAACAGTAGGAGTGTTTTTAATAGACAGTACTGTGTAGCGTACAGCTGCAGCATTTAGAAGACACTGCAGGTAAATATGTAAATCTATACACAGCTTTGCAGGCATATAGTGTGGAGTTAGCCCCATAAATGTGGCCAATTTACTGGACTACCTCCGTAAATAAAGGCCACACTTCCACCATGTACAAAAACATGTCGAACTTTGTCAAATTTTGATTTTCACATTTCGGCTTAGTTCGTAATTTATTTTTGCTTTAGAAGCATACTCACCCTCTTTATAGGCTAATCAGAAAGTGCTGCCTTTTTCAGATGTCTAATGTTCGTGAACTTTCATGTTGAAATTTTGATACGCAAACGTGTACAAACGAATCTGGAAATTTCACGAAAAACAGACATCTGAAAAAGGCAGCACTTTCTGATTAGCCTATAAAGAGGGTGAGCATGCTTCTAAAGCAAAAATAAACTACAAACTAAGCCTAAATGTGAAAATCAAAATTTGACAAAGTTCGACATGTTTTTGTGCATGGTGGAAGTGTGGCCTTTATTTACGGAGGTAGTCCAGTAAATGGGCCACATTTATGGGGCTAGTGTGGAGTATATGCACAACCAACTTTCATCTGAACGTGTACAAAGTATTACATATATCTGAGCCTGGGTGAGCAGCAATAATTGTGTTCAATATCCATTTCTCTCTAGTTCAATTTTACCAGTTTTGCTTTCCATTTATACTATTCTAAAGTGGTACTCACCCTATGAAACACGTGAGAGCAAGACAGCAGAACCTGGAGTAAAAGACATCAACAAATGAAAAGTTATCTCTCTGATCGCTTTATGATACGAAAACAAGACTAGGCTTGCGTAACTGAGTTCGACCTGAAAGCACCAATTTAGGACATTATTTATACATGGTTGCTCGGGGAGTCAGGGAGTCAGTCATTCAGTCGGGGGGGGGGGGGGGGGGGGGTCAGTCAGTCAGCCAGGAAAACTTGGACCACTTGTCAAGTTTGTGAGAGAAAAGGGGGTTCCCAGGGTTCGACCTTAACTCTTTTAACAGACTATTAACAAGCCTGGGGGCATTTTCACTAGCCCGTATTTTTTTTTAGCTCAAATACAAAATGCCCTATTTTCAGGCTCAATTCTGAGGCAATTTTGTCAGTGTTTTAAAGAAACAGATCTAATTCAACCATTTAAAACAGTTGATAAAATTAAAAACAAATTGATGAGGTTTGCTTTCTGAATTTAATGATTTATTTCTTCCTGTCCTTTCATCTTTGCCGTAGCCCAATAATTTTGGACTCGCCAGCCGAGCTATTAAGGAATAGTTCGACTAGCCCGCCGCTGTTTTGACTAGCATTTGGCTAGCGGGCTACCACTAATTTCGAACCCTGGGTTCTGTAATATTGGAGGGATCAGGAACATTGTTGTACCTGTTGCTGTAGGCCAAATTCTTCCTTGCAAATGACACAGGGAAGTATGGAATCGTCACGGCGATTGGATTTCTCTTTGGCATCTCTCCAGTCCAGATCAGAGAGGGGCTGTTCGGGCGCTTCCATTAGGCCAAGTTTTTGAGCTGAAAATTATAAAAATGAAGATTACGAAAAGCCTTAAAAGTTTTTAAAAGTAAGGGGAAGTTCAACGTGGACAAAAATGGTAAAAACTAGCTGTGCACTAGGCAATTAATTATTTTTTTTATTTATACATGCCATGCATTCAAGGGGAAAAACCTGTTGATTTTTATCCTCAACGGAGTTGACACATACAGTACGTAAATTGAACTGCGTTCTATGACCATTTGTAAATGGTTTTGAGACCTGCTAGCTTAAGGTCAGCTAAAGGTGTGTTGCAAAGAGCCCTCCGAAAATGTGCAAGAGAAGTTAACCAGTTCGCACCATAGGACGTGTATAAATATACACGCCAAAGTTTTCCAAAATGCAGATCAGATGACTGACAAACCCGCAAATGAAAGAGGCCAGAAAATATCTGTCAGCGAGCCACAGCCAACGACCAAGGGTGATGGCTTCAACCCGCCTGGCATTGCGGTCGAGTGGAATGCCAACCCGTGCCTTGGTCCGTTCTTGTCAAAATAAACCCGACCTCAACTGGTTCAGCAGATTTTCAGTCAATTTGGCCCCATGCATATAACAAGACTATTAATGTACAGTCTTTTGTTCTTAACAAAAACTGATATTCACAGAAAATTCTCGTAAGTGCATGTTGCATTTAAATTTACCAACTCCAACTCTAACAAACTTTGACGAATGCTGGCAATGTCATCTGAGGATATCTCACCAAGAGTAAGTGGCTGTGGTTTCTGGTCCAGCACGTACTCCTTCTCCGTCTTGCGATTGGAGGGGGCGTCGCCCTTCCTCCCGCCCACTCCCGGCCTCTGACCAGTATCCACCACCGCTTTGACTTGTTTCTTGGGTCGCCCATGATGAATCGGCCTCTTCGTCTTCAGGGGGTCGGCGAGAGACAGGTTGCGCATGAGATGATCCTGGAAAGCCACCGCAGCGAGAGCCGTGCTGCTTCCACTCTGATACAGAGTAATGTAAACAAATCGTTCCCTCAATGCTATTATTTGTAAGGCCGAGTAAAGACAAATAGTTTCTCGTCCGGGATTTTTGAAGGCGGTGGCTCCTTATTCCTATTTTCTTCCAAGATGATAAAAAATTGATACAAATTGCATCCAAAGGAGCAGTCACCCTTTCTATAAAGCTACAATTTTGTTGGAAATGTCGAGCGCAATTTGAGTCCCCCACGCAAGTTTAAACTTGCGCGCGCAAGTTTAAACTTGCGCGAGGGACTCCTGAAGCACGCAAATTACACCGCGCCATTTTAATTTGCGTGCGCAAGTTTAAACTTGCGCAAAGGCGATTGCAACCTTCTTTTGCAGGCGGGATTTTCATTGATGAAGAATTTTTTTTTCAAAACACGAGTACATGGAGAAATAATGGAATATATGAATGAATAAAGAAATAAATAAAAAGGGGAATTCAATTAGCGTCAATGAAAAGAAACATTGAGATTTAGCAGTGCTTATCAGAGAAGTTGTTTAAGGGTACGTAGGGGCGGGGCCGGGGAGGGGACCGGGCAAGCAATAAACTTATGCACACTAGCGGCGATTGCTTGGAAAGTGTACTGAAGTTGTTCAATAATGGAGACTAGCTTCAAGTTTTTTGCTTTATATTTATATTCTTGAGTGTAAATAAATCATGATTTCCTAGGGCTGGTGTAACCCGCTGTTAACGTAAAAAGAATGATTATGATCCCTTCAATTGTTCAAGTTTTGACATTCTAGTAATCATTTACATTATTTTTAAAATGCTTATGTATTCTACAATTAAAAAAGTACTTATTCTTAAAAAAATACTAATTAATTTAACAATTAATAAATTGGACGGTACAATAATTCATATTGTTTTTAGAATACTTGCATAACATTTCGAGCACTGTGTACACTTCAAAAATGCATAATTTGAAAAAAAAATTTAATGAATGCATTACTAATTTACTTAATTAATTAATTTATTACTTTAACAAATATTTTTTCATTGCAGGCTCAATAATTCATGTTAAAAAATGTTTACAACTTAAAAACGCTATGCATATAAAATGGTAATTATTTTAAAAAGTAAATAAATTTGCAAAGGATTTAATTAATGAATTTAATAAAATGTTTCAAAAAAAGGCATTAAGGCATTGTCTCCCGAAGCTCAGTGATGCTATTAAATCGGAGAAAAAAAATCTGCTTTAAAAATAATGTTACATATCTGCATGAGTTTACCAGGGAAATATAGTTTAGCGGCTCTGTATGCGTGGCCAGGAAAATCTATGCAGTGCGCAAGTTTAAACTTCCGTGTGCAATTTGTAGCAAGGAAATGAATGCACGCAAGTTTAAACTTGCGTGCGCGCAAGTTTAAACTTGCGCGGGGGACTCACTGTGCGCTCGACAGCAACAAATAAAAAGACAATAATATTGACAAAATGTGCGAAATATATCTCAAATGTATTTACTTCCAGAACTCTAAAAAACCTTACGGTTTTGGAAGTAAAATGTATTAAAAAAGGGGGGAGGCGGGTGAGACAAACTCATGAAGTGGGCGTGGACAATAAAACTGGTTTCTTTTTCTACTTACTTGGCCTAATTCCACAACTAGGATTGGATGCAGTCAGTAGTCATTACAATTTACATGTTCAACCAACACCTGACATATTCTTTCCAAGGCCTTGCAAGGGAACTAAAGTCTTAGATTTCTTACAGGATCGACCGATAGCGCAGCACGTTCGACCGATAGCGCACATCCGTCCATTGCGCCTGTTGTGCCCATTCTTGAAAATCACGCATTCTCGAGAATGGGCATGCACATTCTCGAGAATGGGCGCGCATTCTTAAGAATGAGCGCCCATTCTTAAGAACGAGCACGCGTTCTTAAGAATGAGCGCTCATTCTTAAGATTGGGTGGGAATATCACGTGCACAATTTATGAATTTTGCCCAATCTTAACAAACATTGCACGACATAATTATGTTAAATGAATTGTATAGCGGTTAAAAGGGAAACAAATCATATAAAGAGGAAAGAAAATGTGCTATGCTTCTGTACTCGTATAACTACGATAATTTGAATCAAATTAAACCTGTTATTATTGCTTTCTTCTGCCCACTATGGGAAGTTTTATAATAACGGAGGACTGGGAACTAGTCTGGGAAGTGCTTTGTTTAGGCTAGACAAGTTACAAGTCCCTGCATGTATCATATGCGTGCCACGAAAAAAAAACGATGTCAAGAAGCTGCCAAAATTGCTCTTTTGACTAGATAGAATCCAGCTCTGCGACGTTATGGTGGGATGTGAACAATAAATTGGTGGCAATTTAAATGGGAAATAGCATTAGCACTATGGGATGTCGCAGTATTCATTCTCATTCTTCACATTCTTCATTCTTACGTCCCCCCCCCCCCGCTTTTATTATCCCAAAACTCAGAATTCTTTGCACTATTATTATTATGTCTCTTATCCCCCCCCCCCCATATCAATACGCCTTTACTTATCATATCCATGTTGTGCCCATTCTTGAAAATCACGCATTCTCGAGAATGGGCATGCACATTCTCGAGAATGGGCGCGCATTCTTAAGAATGAGCGCCCATTCTTAAGAACGAGCACGCGTTCTTAAGAATGAGCGCTCATTCTTAAGATTGGGTGGGAATATCACGTGCACAATTTATGAATTTTGCCCAATCTTAACAAACATTGCACGACATAATTATGTTAAATGAATTGTATAGCGGTTAAAAGGGAAACATTTCATATAAAGAGGAAAGAAAATGTGCTATGCTTCTGTACTCGTATAACTACGATAATTTGAATCAAATTAAACCTGTTATTATTGCTTTTTTCTGCCCACTATGGGAAGTTTTGTAATAACGGAGGACTGGGAACTAGTCTGGGAAGTGCTTTGTTTAGGCTAGACAAGTTACAAGTCCCTGCATGCATGTATCATATGCGTGCCACGAAAAAAAAACGATGTCCAGAAGCTACCAAAATTGCTCTTTTGACTAGATAGAATCTAGCTCTGCGACGTTATGGTGGGATGTGAACAATAAGTTGGTGGCAATTTAAATGGGAAATAGCATTAGCACTATGGGATGTCGCAGTATTCATTCTCATTCTTCACATTCTTCATTCTTACGTCCCCCCCCCGGCCCCCCGCTTTTATTATCCCAAAAATCAGAATTCTTTGCACTAGTATTATTATGTCTCTTATATTTTCCCGGCCCCCCCCCCCCCCCATATTAATACGCCTTTTCTTATCATATCCACTCTACTGTTTAAGCGCCTTGCGTTGCAACAGTATAATTATTGTGAATCAGTGAACGAGGATTCAGCTAGACTTGCCAAGTGCAGCCGGTGCTCGGCATCGACAAGACCGTTATCTTGTCGCGCATTCTCGAGAATGTGCGCTCAATCTGGAAGAGTTATTTTTTGCCAAGATTGAGCAAGGATCCAGTTGCACATTCTCAAGAATGTGCATGCCCATTCTCGAGAATGCGTGATTTTCAAGAATGGGCACAACACCCACTCTACTTTTCAGCGCCTTGCGTTGCAACAGTATAATTATTGAGAATCAGTGAACGAGGATTCAGCTAGACTTGCCAAGCGCAGCCGGTGCTCGGCATCGACAAGACCGTTATCTTGTCGCGCAGTCTCAAGAATGTGCGCTCAATCTGGAAGAGTTATTTTTTGCCAAGATTGAGCAAGGATCCAGTTGCACATTCTCAAGAATGTGCATGCCCATTCTCGAGAATGCGTGATTTTCAAGAATGGGCACAACACGCCCAACAATCTACCATCCCCCACCGCGGTCCATGTCCAAGCACGAACAGTGATGAACTTTTCCCTCGGATATCCATTAAGATAATTATTTTTACCTGTCGATCACCTGTCTTCATATTGTTGGCTCTCATAAGCAACTGTTCATCCTTTTTGAAATTCATCACAATTTGTCTATTGAAACAAACAACAAGAAATCGGAGAGTTACATTTGCGGCTAGACCAAATTTCCATGACATCAAAGACGCAAGTTTATGCATTGTGAACTTTGACCCTGTAAACTATGGCGTGTCAAACGTTGCAATATTCAATATTTTGCAATATATATGTTGCAGGCGCGGTTCTAGGGGGGGGGGGGCTAGGGGGGGGGGGGCTGTAGCCCCCCAAAATGTTGTCTAGCCCCCCCCCCCCCCCAAAAAAAAATAAATTCCGTAAAAAAAAAAATTGCATTAACAAAAAGGAGGATTGTGATGTACATGCGAACGGTCTCCCCCTAAAGAAGAAATAGCCGTGACAAGGGTGCATTAGTTAATATAGTGCAAGGGCGGATCCAGGAGGGGGGGCCAAAGGGGGCCATGGCCCCGAAAAACGAAACCAATTTTTTTTTTATGTGACATCGCAATAAAGGCAGGCAATGAGTACACCACCATCTTTTCCTCAAAAACAATTGGTTAAAGTGGTCAGAAATTGCCTCAGATCGCACCACAGAGCATCTAGAATCCAAAAATTGTTCGGGGCCCTTAAGCGGGCCCCGAACCCCACGCCGTAATTTTTTGGACCCACTTTTTGGGGGGACCAATTTTTTATTTGGCCCCCCCCAAAAAAACCAAATTGTGTTCTGGATTCGCCCTTGCTATAGTGTGAATGATTTTAGGATTTTATTGGCGCTCCCCATTGAAAATATGGCATGAGCTCTGCCCCCCCCCCCCCCCCCTATTGATTTTCGGAGGCCTAAGTGTCTGGAAAAAATAACCGGTCAACATTTCAGCACGCCTCCCTGAAAAAAAATCTGGATCCACCGTGCTAGCCCCCCCCCCCCCCAAAAAAACCAAATATTGGTTCTAGAACTGCGCCTGATATGTTGGATGTTCAATATGTGTTTGTTACCTTTTACATTTATGTTCGATGTTCAATATAAGTGTGCGATGTTTTTCATTATTTGCGCGATGTTTAATATATTTGTGCGATGTTTTACAATATATGTGCGATGTTCAATATATGTGTGCGATGTTTTACATTTATATTCGATTTTCAATTTATATGTGCGATGTTTTTGACGATATATATGTGCGATGTTTTCAATATTAAGTTCGATTTTTTGCATTAAATGTGCGATGTTTTTCGATACAATTGTGTGTGTTGTTTTACAATATATTTGCGATATTCTCAAATATGTGAGCAATGTTTTACACATATGTTTGACATTTCGAGCTATTTGTATTCGATGTTTCATCGGTATGTTTGCATTCGATCTTTTGCAATATGCATTTGATGTTTCCCTTTTCATTTGATGTTTCTTTAAGAGTCAAAGTCTGGGTTACTAGACCGCGAAAGTCTGACTATTTTGCCTAAAGTCAATGTATGAGACGTCAGGGGGATCGCGTAAAGTGATTAGAGCCAGACCTAAACGGTAAAAACCGGAATTGTGGGTAATTCTTTAAGCATATCATTGTTTGGGCAGTACCCCCAGCTGTGCCTGTACTACCCATAGTGTTATGTGCATCATCTATGCATTGAGGAGTGCATGACACATGGTCTGAGCTCCAAGGCCGATGTGCACCTGTCCCGTTTAATGATCCAGTTACCTGATAATTTGTTTGAAAAATTCCAGATGTAAACTTGGGCAAAATTAGATGTTTATGAAAAAATATCAAATTGTAAGGGGTTAACCTTGCATTTTTTTTAAGCAAAATCGGGAAAAATGTTTCTGGAAAATTGCAGATTGTATGGGGTTAGATGTTTATGAAACATTTCAAATTGTAAGGGGTGAACATTGCATATTTTAGCGAAATTGGGCAAAATCAGATGTTTCCGAAAAATTTCAGATGTAAGGGATTATCCTTGCTTTTTATTGAAATTCTGCAAAGTTAGATGTTTATGAAAAATTTCAAATTATAAGGGGTTAACCTTGCATTTTTTAAGCGACATTGGGGAAAAAATCCGATGTTTCTGGAAAATTGCAGATTGTAAGGGGTTAACCTTGCTTTTTAAATTCGATTGGGAAAAATTAGATGTTCATGAACAAAAATCAAATTGTAAGGGGTTAACCCTGCATTTTTTTTAGCAAAATAGGACACAATCAGATGATTCTGGAAAATTGCAGATTGCTAGGGCTTAACCTTGTATTTCTAGCACAATTGGGCAAAAGAAATGTTTATGAAAAATTTTAAATTGTAAGAGGTGTACCTTGTATATTTAGTAAAATTTGGCAAAATCAGATTTGTATGAAAAATCTAAAATGGTAAGGGGTTAACCTTGCTTTTTAAGCAAAATTTGGAGCATATTTTACTAAAATTGGGCAAAATCAGATGCTTCTAAAAAATCCAGATGTAAAGTTTCCGCAAAAATAGCTGTTGAAAAAGAGCCCAATGTTGAACTTTACTGAGTCTGAGGTCTATCGAGGGGACGATCCTTATTTCAACTCCCGGAGATTCGCTGACAGTCTCTATTTTTCTTTTTAAGAAAGTCGAAATAGCTGAAGAGGGAGGTGAGAATCTATATGTGCCCAGATACAAAGAGTAGAAATCTACGCGTCTGCCTTTTGAAAATACACAATTGCGGTGTTCATTGTTGCGTAATGATCCGCCTAGCACACGACTGTTTTGCATATTAGGCTGTGTTATGCAGCTTCCTAACAAACCAAACACACTGGGCTCATTATATCGACTTGTTTTTACCCATTAAGGTAAAGCAAATGGACCCAGTAATCTTCCTGGCGCGTTTGCTCACCTATAAAGACAACTTTTCTCAGTTTAAGGAAAATTCTAAGGTAACGAAATGGCCGAGTGGTTACGATTCGTCGTCCACGGTTAGCGGGGTCCCGGGTTCGAATCCCGCTGGTGTCTTTTTGGTTTTTAACGTATGAGTTCAATTATTCACTATAAGAGATTTATTTTCCCGTCGTAAAGTACCAACAGTACCTTAGCTTAATCGGTAAGCACTGCTGCTGGTACTGTCCGCGAGTTCCAGGTTGGCGCCTTCGTACAGGTTCAGGGCATGTGGTCCACTCGGAGGATCAGGGCTTAGGGGCCGCCCTGTTCCTCCCTTAGCTCTTTGCTTTTACATGGTGCCTGGCCCTCCGGGGTTATATGGATGGATAGGGAAGGAAGTGTGTATTGGTCGGGGACGCCGAGACCCCGGAAGAGAACTAAGGGATCGGCTGGGGCATTGTTATGGCTCAGACCGATCCCTGAAAGCTTGACTAGCACATAACTTTTTGATTTTTTTTTACCCTCTTTCTTTTATACTTTGGTTTAGTTTGATATCTACAGCTGCTCGGCAGGTCTACGGGTAGTATTAAAGTTGAAACAAAGGTGTATGTCATAAATCAATGAATATTTCATAATTGACTATAATCAAAACGGAGTTTCGTTTGATCAATTTGACTATCATTATATAATGACGCGATTGCCAACTTGACGTAAGAAACGCCATAAATTATACCGGGAAAGAATAAAGATGAACATTGTAATTTAAATATATTTATACATCTTTCAAATAACGTGTCTTTAATTGTGAGCATTCCAAACAATACAGTAATTCGCAATAGTAATAGAATGGTATATGATAGCACGATCAATGCGTCTCTATTAAATTTTAAAAAAATATATAATTTAGGCCCCTATGTGTGAAATATTCTTTGATTGACTATGAGCATTCCATACGAATGAGTTAATTCGCAAAATATAGCAACAACAAAAGAGAAAGGAAAAAGAAAAAATTCCTTTACCCTTAAAAACTGGAAAAATAATTTGTTTTAAAAAAGTCAAATGAAACACTTCATGTATTGATTTAACAGTTTGCAAGGGGTTAACCTTACATGTTAGCAAAATTGGGGAAAATCAGATGCTTCTGGAAAATTGCAGCTTGTAAGGGGTTAACCTTGCATTTTTAGTAAAATTTAGATGTTTATGAAACATTTCAAATTGTAAGGGTTGAACCTTGCATTTTTTAGCGAAATTGGGCAAAATCAGAACTTTCTGGAAAATTTCAGATTGTAAGGGTTAACCTTGCTTTTGTAGTACAATTTGGCAAAATAAGATGTGTATGAAAAATTTCAAATTGTAAGGGGTTAACCTTTCTTTTTAGTAAAATTGGGAAAATTTTTAAATGTTTATGAAAAATTTCATATTGTCAGTGGTTAACCTTGCCTTTTTTAGCAAAATAGGGCAAAATCAGGTGTTTATGGAAAATTTCAGATGGTAAGGGGTTTACTTTGCATTTTTAGCAAAAATGGGCAAAAACAGATTTGTGTGAAAAATCAAAAATTGTAAGGGGTTAACCTTGCCAAATTAGGGCAAAATCAGATGTTTCTGGAAAATTGCAGATTGAATGGGGTTAACCTTGCTTTTTTAAGCGAAATTGGGAAAAATCAGATGTTCTTGAAAATTGCAGATTGTAAGGGGTTAACTTTGCATTTTTAGCATCACTGGGCAATATCAGATTTATATGAAAAATCTCAAATTGTAAGGGGTGAACCTTGTATTTTTAGCGAAATTGGGCAAAATCAGATCTTTCTGTAAAATTTCAGATTGTAAGGGGTTAACCTTGCTTTTAGTGATATTTGGCAAAATAAGATGTGAATGAAAAATTTCAAATTGTAAGGGGTTAACCTTGCTTTTTTAGTAAAATTGGGCAAATTTAAATGTTTATGAAAAATCTCAAATTGTAAGGGGTGAACCTTGCATTTTTTAGCAAAATAGGGCAAAATCAGGTGTTTATGAAAAATGTCAGATTGTAAGGGGTTCACCTTGCATTTTTAGCAAAATTGGGAAAAAAAATCAGATTTGTATGAAAAATCAAAAATTGTAAGAGGTTAACCTTTGCCCAATTAGGGCAAAATCAGATGTTTCTGAAAAATTGCAGATTGAAAGGAGTTAACCTTGCATTTTTAGCAAAACTGGTCAATATCAGATTTTTATGAAAAATCTCAATTTGTAAGGGGTGAACCTTGCATTTTTAGCAAAATTGGGCAAAATCAGATGTTTCTGAAAAATTTCAGATGTAAGGGGGTTAACCTTGCTTTTTTAGCGAAATTGGGAAAAA